AGTGCTAATAATGTTTGTTATTGATCCCTTTTTTAAAAAACTAGCAAATGCTCTTCTTCAATATCTCATATTCTTCAACTGTACATACCGGAGGCTTTGGTTTTGATTTTCCTAACTGAGGACAATATAAAGCCACAAGGCAATGCACTTCAAAATGGAGAAAAATGTTGGGTATATAAAATGCCACAGGAAGATTAAAGAAGACTGAGAAAGAAGAGATTGGATTTGGTAATTAGGGTGGCACTTGACTTCTGGGAGAAGTTTTAGGTATAGTGTAATGACTCCTTTCTTGAACCATATCTATTTCTCCTTTGTGTACTTGTTTCTGAGGTAGCACCACATGGTATGTTGGGACCTCAGTTCATGAGCTTAATTCTTTACGTAATTCTGGTTGTAGAAGACTTGTGGAGCTGGAATTGTGGAACAAATTGTGACCAGAATTGTGGAAGAAATTAAGTTCCTGAACTGAGATACTAAACCCTGGTTGTTACCAGGGTCCTTCCTCTCCCTTATTCACTTTATTCCGTTAGTGAGTTTCTCCTGTGTCACCTCTGTGTTCTCTCCATTTCCCTTTATTTCCAACCCCTTTCCAAATCTGAATCTCAGTGTTTCAGAAATCAGCTTTTTGTTATTCACTTCAAATTCATTGTCAAGTTGTGATAGCTCTTCATAATTGAATTGCTAAACTGTTTCTTTTCATGTCTATTATCATAATTTTACTTGGCAACACAGCAGACAGTTTTTCGTTCTTTGCCTGCCTTATCATTCTCCTACTTTAACACTATTAGTCATCTTCTCCTTTATGAAACACTCTTCACTTAACTCTTGGGACTCCATTTTCCTGATTTTCTTGCTCCATCTTTGATGGTCTCCTTTAAGGTCTTCTGTTTGCCTCCTCAATATAGGTGACCTTTGAATTCTGCCCTGTAGCTTGGTCTCAGGATGATGTGTGGGCAGTCTCAGGCATATTTATGATTTCAGCTACCATCCATCGGTTGACTCCCAAATCTTTGTCATTAGTGCAACTCCTTTACTGAGCCCCAGGCCTGTATTTCTGTTGTCTACTGGATCCTCCATTTGGAAGTTCTGCAGAATTTTAAATATAATGGATTTGAAAGGGAACTCTTATTTTCATTCTCAGACTTTGTCCTTTTTATTTTCTGTCTTGATGAAGGGTGCCAACAATTGTTCATCACCCAGAGAAGACACCTGGTGACATTATATGTACTACCTACTCATTTTCTGCGTCCATTGGGTCACAGATTCTGTTGATTTTACTGCTTAAAATCTGTGTCAATTCAGCCCCCAATCACTGTCTTCACTACTTTGGCTTAAACTCTGTCATTTCTTGTCTCATTATTTTGTTTCCTAATTACTCTCCCATTTTGCAGATGTTCCTTTTCTTTTGCCCATTTTCCAAGTATAATACTCATAGCCAAAATTTGAGTTCTTATTATGTTTCATTTACATGTAAAGTGTTTCCATGCATTTTCCTCTTAGCAATCACAATGAATCATTATAATCCTTTTTAGAGTTGGTTGGGTCTCCTAAATAGTAAGTGGAGGAACAAGGATTTAAATCTTAAGACATACACTCTAGAATGTGATCTTAATCAGTTCACTTTTATTTTATCTCCCCCGTTTTCCATGCATTTTCCTCTTAGCAATCACAATGAATCATTATAATCCTTTTTAGAGTTGGTTGGTCTCCTAAATAGTAAGTGGAGGAACAAGGATTTAAATCTTAAGACATACACTCTAGAAAGTGATCTTAATCAGTTCACTTTTATTTTATCTCCCCCACAGTCTTTGGGTGGCCTTTAAAATCTTCCTGAGCTATCTTTTTCCTCTCCTCCAGTGAATACCTAGGAGACTTGGCATTTCAGGCCTGTTGAACTTCTTGATGTTCCTTAGAGTTGTCTTACTTTCCCATACCTCTGTGTGTTTGGACACGTTACTTCCTCTGCCTTGGACCCCTGCCTGTACCCTGGCATCCCCTCTTGGGATGTTACCACTGTCGTCCTTAGCCTCTGTTCTGCTCCCATGACACCCTGTGTGCACAATTGCCGCATTTATGTAAAAAGTTTATAAACATATAATCATTTTAGGATAGTTTTAGACCTATGGAATAGTTGGCAAAGATACCATATATAGTTCTCATAAAGTTCATGCCTAGTTTCCTTGTTAACATGCTGTGTTGCTGCATGTAGCATAGCTAGTAAACTAATGCTGGCATGTTACTATTGACTAAATTTTTTACTTCACTGGGATTTCACAGGTTATTTTCCTGTGGTACCCCCCCCACCCCGTTTCATGATCCCATCTGGAAATTGGAGAAGCACTGTTAGGTGTTTTTTTGTGTATGTGTGGAATATCCCTCCATTTGAGTTTTGTCTTGTATTTTTCTTATGGCTAGAGTTGAGGCCCTAGGTTTTGGGGTGGAAAACCACAGAGGTGAAATGTTGTTCTCATCACTTCATATCCAGGGTAGCAGCATAACCTACTATTGTTGATCGTAACCTTGGTCAACTGCCTGAGCCAGTGTTAGACAGATTTCTTTTTTTTAATACTTTAATTTATTGGTATAATTTAAATATATAAGAAGCAATCACATTCATCAAAGGGAATTTGTACCTGTGCATGATACCTCTTGTTCTCCCAAACCCTCTCCCCTCCTTTTAATCCTCCCTCCCTGCCTTATTTACAAAAGCTTTGATTCCATTTTTGTCCTGTTTTTTCTTTTCTCATCCTTCTTTTCTTCTTCCTCCCTTCCCAGTTTCCCTTTCCTTTTGCACAGTTTCTTCTACTGCACATTTTGCTCCTTATTTGCCCTTTCAGTTTCTCACACTAGAGAGACAATGCGATATTCACGTGTGTCTGAAATATTTCACTTAAGAGTATGATCTCAAGGTGCTCCCTTTAGCTAGACGTGTCTGGTTTATCTTTCTTTATGTACTCCATTGTATTAAAAAACTCACATATCATCCTTCATCAGTTGATGGGCATTTGAGCTGTTTCCAAGATTTAGCTATTACAAACTGCTGCTATAAACATGGGTGCACATATATCATTGTGGTATGATGCTTTTAACTCTTTCGAGAAGATACTCAGAAAGTAGTTGGGTCAAATGGGACCTCTAATCCTAATTGTTTGAGGAATCTCCACACTGATTTCCAGAGTGGTTGTATCAGTCTGCACTCAGGCCAGCAATGGAGAAAGGTTCCTTTTTCCCTACAGCCCTGCCAGCATTTGTTGTTGGTTGATTTCTTGATATTAGCCATTTTTTCTGGGGTGAGATGGAATCTCGGCGTTGTTTTAATTTGCATCTCTTAGATGACAAGTGATGTAGAACATTTTTTCATATATTCATTTGCTATTTGTACTTACTTGAGAAGTGTCTATTTCAGATGTCCATTTTTGGATTGGGTCTTTAAATTTGGAGGGATTTTTTTTTTCAATTTGTATGTTCTAGATAGCAGTTTGTTTTTTATTTTCTGAGAGGCAACTAGCTAAAATATTTTCATGCTCTATGGGTTGTCTCTTTACTCTGGCAATTTCTTTTGCAGTGCATATTTCTTGTAAGGTTCCTCTCTATCTTCATTCTTGAGTCTTTGGAGGTGAGTCATTATGCCAGCCCACCCTCAGGTTTGAGTGGTAAACTCCATCTATCGGAGGGGAACGTTGTTGACATTAATTCCTTAGAATTTTCTCTGTAAGGAAGACCTGTTTCTTATCCCTCATTTATTTATTTGGTTATTTAGGTATATTAGTGTAGACTGTTTGATACTTTGAATTATTATCCAGCATTTTATTATTTATTTTGTTGCCCATACTATTCCATCTTTGGCTTTTGGGAGCTCTTTTAGGCTGTCACCCCACACTGTCTCAGCTCTAGAATCAGCCATTTCTCTAGTTTTTTTTTCTTTGTTTTAATTGGAAAAAGGTATTAGAAGCCAAAGTGTGTGCAAGGTGTGTAAATTGTTACAAGAGTATCACTACTTCTGTGCCTTTCAGTAAACAGAGCTAGAAATTTATGTCAGTAAACAGAGCTAGAAATGTATATGCCCACAAGCTCCAGCATATATAAATGTGATTATTTGTCCATCTTTGTTATAGTAAGCTAGCAATGATTTCATGCTGACAGCTGTGATTCACTCTGACCCTTTCTTCTTGCTTGTCTGTAAATTCCCTCTCACTCTGAGAAACTTGACTCCCACTACCATATGCCTGTCCTGCTCTACTTTTAAGCTTTGACTTTTTTCCCCATCTCCATTAGTCTGTAAGCACCTTTGGCAGTTATTAAATCTTGTTGAATGAGTGATGAATCTTGAAAAATGTAGCATTTTAGCAAAATCAGTTTAAATAAATCTTAATAGAAAATATGAAATAAAACTTTTAAACTAATTTCTTACATTAGTACTCTGTGTTCACTGTAGAAATTTAATTTAGAAAACAAAATGTAAGAATAAAAAAAGCACTTCTGACACCCAGGGATAAAACTTAATATCTTGAAATATGGCATTTTAGAACTTTTTATATATTTCTATGAATGACACACAGTTCTTTACAAGAATGTGTACACTCATATTTCATACTTCTAATAACCCCCTTTCCACTTTCATATGGATGCATTACTCAGAATGGGTATGTCACAGTTGTGCCATGATTTAACCGATTTCCATTTTAAGATGTTCAAATTATTACTGATCTTTTGCTGTTCTAAACCCTGATGAAAGTCTTCTCAGAGGTCTTGGCATGCTATCTCTATGGTTTGCTTTAATTGTATTCCTGAAAGTAGGATTGCTGGAGAAGTGCATTTTAAGGTGTTTCGTACATGTTTCTGGGGGTAAAGTTTTTTCTTTATTATCTGTTTTTTATTGCTTGCTCTCAGTGAAGTTCTCTCCCTTGAGATCTTGCAATCTTCTTTTGGAATTATGATGAATAGCTTGTCTTCAAAGCCAAGAGCTCACAACTATTTTGCTGATTTATTTACCCACACAGAGTATCGTGTCAAAGAACGCGCTGCAGTATCGGGGAAATTCCCAGCATGATGCACAGGAGTTTCTGCTGTGGCTTTTGGACCGAGTTCATGAAGATCTCAATCATGCTGTAAAGCAGAGTGAGCCTCCTCTGAAGGTGAGGATGTGCAGTCCCCTCGGTCAGTCAGGGTGAGCTACAGTGAACGAGTAAGGGAAGCGTGGGGCACCTTCTTCCAAACCTCTGCTGAGGACTTGTTGCATGTAGTTAATAGAATAAAACTCAATAAGCTCTGAATAAGCATAAACTCAGATGGATACTGAAGGGGTAACTCCCTTTAACTACTGTGCCAGCAAGGTAGGGTGGGAGAGGTGTTGTCTCCATGGAAGTCAACTCAGCGTCTTGTGAGAGGGGAATACTTGCTTTCTGTTCTAGTAAGACACATGCTTTAGGGATCACTAGATCAGAAGGGAAATGTGTGGCTATCTCTGCAGTTAGCACTGGATTTCAGCATAAGAACTGAACCTTCAGAATGATCTCATTGAGAAACGTAATAATTCACACTCAGTCTTTATAATTTGGCCTAATGTAACAAGTAATTTACATGATGGAAAAAATTAAGCGTTATTCTCCTACAGAACTTTTAAAGTTTTGGTAACTCTGCTCTGTGCTTCAAATTTTAAATTTCTAGTTTTGGGGAGTTGTTATTCTAATTTAAGTCCTCTTGTGCCTGAACACTGTTCTGTCATTTGACTAAATATTCGTGGCTGAGTTTTCACATAGAGTTGAGACACCTTCAAGCACTGTCTTACTTATCTTTGTGTCCTAGTGTCCTGTACAGTACTTTCAGCATGTGATAGCTGATGCTCATAACTAGGTAAAAGGACACGAAAGGGTTAAATAATGGGAAGTAGAGACTAATTAGGCATCTGGGTGAATATCAGCACAGCTCGTAGTGCTGGAGAATTTAAGTGTGGGAAGAATTGGTATTTTAAAGTGGTTGGGATTATTTCCTTGAAGAGATTGGGAAAGGGGTTTGAGAATTGGAGCCAAATTGGAGCATCCCTGAATGGGGTGGAGGTGGAGCAACGTGGTTAGTGGCAGAGTCTATCTGGGGAGATGAGTCCACAGGACCCACAGTGCTGTCTGCGGTGTTCTGGCTCCTTTAGCAGGTGCCCATTACCAACGCATCTGGTTTCAAGTCAAGGACACTGGGACTCTTTAGGCTCATGGTCAGTTAAGAGTTGGTACTGTACTTCTAGTCTGTGAATTCTACTTTTTTTTTTTTCTTTTAAAGCCCCCATCAGAGACGGATATGATGCCTGAGGGACCATCTTTTCCTGTGTGTAGCACTTTTGTACAAGAACTTTTTCAAGCCCAGTACCGGTATGAGCAGATCAAATGTTCTCTCTTATTTTTTCTGCTTGGCGTAGTTTTAGGTGATCTTACTGAGTCTTACATTTTTGTTTTAAAAGATCTTCTTTGACATGTCCTCACTGTCAGAAACAGAGCAACACTTTCGACCCTTTCCTCTGCATTTCTTTGCCTATTCCTCTGCCCCACACAAGGTAAGAACAGATACAGTAAACCTTAACAAGAAAGGCATTCTGATGGTGTACTTTTCCTTTGTAAGCTCTTAGTAAGTCTTATTTATCTTGTCAAGTGATAGTTTTAATGACAGCTCGAGTCCAGCTTTGTCAAGCCCTTAAAGAAATGCCTGTCCACATTTGCAGGGTGAGCAGGCACGTGAGACGAGGGAGCCTGTGCCACAGTCTGTTCAGCTGGTTTTCCACAGGCCGTCAGGGGAGGAGGGAGGGCTGTTGAATGACTTCTAGATTTTCTGGAGACCTTGAGTTGTATTTTTAATTAGTTGGCTTATTTAATTAGGTTTATTTTGAACTCTTTCTCAGAATTTCCAGGAGTTATGCCATTTTAAAGAAGATACAAAGGACAAAAGTTTTTTGTTTTATGAAGATTGCATTTTCCCGGGATGTCTTCATTGTATTGTATAGTTAGTTGTATTTAGGTCCTAATAAACTTTTTCCATTTGGCTTCCAGCTAAATATATGGGTTAGCTTCAGTTTTTGTGTTGATTTCAAATCAGGCTGGTTTTACTTCTTTCATATTTTAGTTAAAATAAGTGACTAATGAGAAGATCTGACTTTGATCTGTACAGGCCTCTCTATGTCACTGTAGTGTATCAAGGGAAATGCTCTCACTGCATGAGGATCGGTGTGGCTGTGCCTCTGTCTGGGACTGTTGCCAGACTTCGGGAAGCAGTGTCCATGGAAACAAAGATCCCCACTGATCAGGTAATAACCCCACCAAGATGGACTACACAGGAGCCACAAAAGCATTTCTGTTTCTCTGGAATTTTTACAATTCTTTGCCAGATACGGGTAGATAGAAATTTAGACCCGTTGCATCTAGCACTGAAGGAAAAAAAGTCAAGACCTAAAAGGGTAAAAGGAATAGAAAAACTAATCATGCTTAATTATTTATATTAATGTATATGTGTGTGTGTGTGTGTGTGTGTGTATATATATATATATATATATATATGTATAATATGTATATTTATATAAAATTTCCTTTCCTATCCCTATGAAAGAAAAGCAGGACTTTACCAAGACCTTCTTTTTTGTTTGTTTAGCAAGACCTTGTAGCTTTTATTTGCAAAGTATGATGTAGTCTTTCCTAAATAATAATAATTATTATTTTTTTCCTTACTGGGGATCCAAAACCTTGCCAGGCAACTGTGGCACCACTGAGCCACATCCCTGGCTCTTAAATCATTCCTTTGGATGGCTAAGAGGGCCACCAGAGGAGTAGCCTGTCTCTGTGGTATAGATAGAAAGCTCAAGCAGTGATGCTAAAATGCTCCTTCCTGTTAATGGAGATAAGAACAGACATTTTCCAGTACTCTGTGTTCTGTACATTATACATACTTAGTGTGTGGTCCTTCCCACCCCATGCTGGGGGTCAAACTTGATTCACACATCCTAGGCAAGCAAGTATGTACCACTGAGCTGTACTAAGCTGTGTACCCCCAGCCCTGTTTCATTTTCTAATAAAAGCTTGGTAAGTCATTCACCTTCTCTAGATGAGGAAAAGTTGTATCCCCCCCACCCATTTTTTTTTTTTTTTTTTGGTACTGGGCTAGAACTTAGGACCTTGCACTTAAAAGTGGCAGAACTACTGAGCTAAATCCCCAGTCCTATATTTCCCTTTTTCAGGGCACATCTTTGGTAAGTAGTTTTGTTTAAATTGACCAAAAATGCTTTCAGCCTGTTTGTGACTTGACACATGTTTAAATGCATTTCTTACTTAGTTCACTATTATTATGCTTTTATTAGGAAAAAAATTCCTGATTTAAAATTTACTAAGGAAAGAGAACTTAGTGGCTAAATTAGATAACTTCTGTAAGCTACTGAGTAATAAAAGTGCTTGTACTTTGGCTTCACTGCCCTCATTTGAGAATTATCACAGTAAAACAAGTACAACTAGCAGTGTTGCCCTAATGTAGCAAATCGCTTTTGTTTTCATGGGCCAAATACTGGCACATTGATAAACTTCCTTACTCTGAAGAGTTCATAGATTCTTTTTTTCCCTCCAGGGTAGGAGAAAGAGAGAACAGAAGGCTTTGGTGGGGTCTAAGGCAAATCTGGTAGCATCTTTAGAGCTTCACTGCTTTCTGGCTTTTTTTACATGTGGTTTAAATTGGTGAAATAATTACAAGTTTGCTTTTGGCCTCAACTTGCTGGGGAGTGTGAATTATATTTACATGTTCCCCAGCAGAAAAACAGCATGGCCATTAAATTCATTAGAAGGAAATGTGCCAGAAACATTTCTCCTGGGGCCACCAGCCCTTTATCTGATAGAATCGAGTACCTTGTAGAACATTAGTGCTGGTAGGAAGCACCTCTGGGGTCTAGAGCAATCCTCCCACCCTGTCTGAAGAAGGCCGGAAGAAACCATGCGACTTGTTCAGGGTCACAGGGCTGGTTGGTGGCAGGCTGAGACTGGAACCCCTTGAGCTCAAGCTTTCTTTTCACTAGAGAGTGCTGCTGCAGCATGCAGTGAAGGTTTTAAATGTCGCCATTGTTTTTCTCGCCATCTTTTGTTGTTTGTTTCATTGTAAAACAGTTAGGTTTTAGAAATGTAATTTCAAAAGTAAAAGAATTTAATACTAAGTATCTTAGTACTAAAGTTACTAACTTTAATACTGTTATATAGTATTCATTCAGACATTTTAGTGGGTATACTACATTATTTTATAAGAATAGGTTTATTTACAAATTTTCTTTGCCTTGTTTTTTAGTTGCTTAGTTCTTTCCTTGTTAGTGCAAATATATGTAACTTATTCTTTTTAGTAGTTTTATCATTATAGTAGGACTATATTACATGTAAGTAGTTTCTGTTATCAGATACTTGAATACATTTCATTTTTTCCAATACAAATACCTGTGGTTATTTGACATTTTTAACTTAAAAAGGTGGAAATTTAATGCTAGGAGAAAAGTCTCGGAGTCACAGATAGAGGCTGAACAGTTGTGGAACCTTGGGCAGGTCTCTCCACCTCTCTTCCCCTGTGAAGCAAGAGGTTAGACTTTATAATCTGCTTCTCTTCTGCACCAAAACTTAAAGGAAGTTTGGATTTAATGCCATAAGGTTCTGAAATCATAGTGTGTTGATAGACAATTATGGAGGATATTGTACGTCTAAGATTCTCATTAGAGGCTAACAATATGCATCCCATGAGATATTTCAGAGGCTTCTTAGTGCACTGCCAAGTTCTGACAGTTTGGAAAAGTTCATAGTAGAATTGGGAGATCATTTTGTATTTAATTCCCAGTTACCCAACTATTTACATTTTTCCCATTTTTTAGATTGTGTTAACAGAAATGTACTATGATGGATTCCATCGTTCATTTTGTGATACGGATGACCTGGAAACAGTCCATGAAAGTGACTGCATTTTTGCCTTTGAGACTCCAGAAATATTTAGGCCTGAAGGAATTCTCAGTCAAAGAGGTAAATTAGCACCTGTTTCCATAACATCACCTGAGTTTGCAGGTTTGGCAACTTTCTACCTTTTAAAATATTATATGATGGCATTAATCTGTTTTAATTGTGGTAAAGTGCATGCACTATTGTCTGTTCCAGTTTTCTTTGTCTTTTGTCTGACTTGTTTTTCTTGCTTCCAATAAACCCCCATTTCTCTTACTGCCAACAATCATGTATCTGAACTCCAAATCTGACTCCCCCTTGTTGACTCTCTGACCCCACAACTGCCCACTGTATAAAGTGCTTTGTGATACTTCATAGAGGCCTTGCTTCATCAAATTTTTCTTTCCCTACCTGTTCAGGTTTTCTTTAAGCTACGTTCAGTCTCATGTGTGTATGTGTATCTGTGTCTGTTTTAATTCTCTCTTCTGTTCCTTATACTTTATTCTTGAAGACTATTTTAAGTACTTTTTAAAGAGAATTTTCCTGAATTCACACAGGGAACAAAGTTGATCACTCTTTTTATTATCATTACCCTTAACAAATCACTACTCTTATACTCTATTCCTTTTTTGTTTTTGTTTTTGTATATTTCTCATTTTCTCAGAAATTTGTGTTTCTCATACTTGGCTATTCACGAGAAATAAAAGTATTAATAAATAAGTTTAAGATGGAAAACCTGTAGAAGAGTTAAATCTCAAAACTAGTTTTTTATAGGGGAAAAAAGCTGTTGCTAACAGGCTAGCTAAAACTTTTGCTAGAAATTCTAAGAAAAAAATTCTAAGAAAATTCTAAGAAAAAGATATTTAGTCTGGGTAAGGTACTGAAAATGCAAAGATAAATGAGGTAGTTTCTGCCTGTAATGAGGTCTTCTGTTACAGATATAGTATCCTTTCACATGAAAAAATAATTTTTGGAACAACATTATTATTAATCAATACATAAAAAGACAATGACTTTAAAATCAAGAATTCTGAAAAAGCTTGTCTACTACATTCTCATTATTTAATATTATCTGGCTGTTCTGCTCAGTGCAGTAAGATATGCAAAGCTCTGAGGAGTAGATGTTAACTCATGGTAGTTACTGTCAGAGTGTAATGTTGAGAAGTTTCTATCTTTTTTGTTCAGACATGAAATAGAGAAAACAGATTTCAGATTAAAAACAATGTCAACAAGAAATGAAAGTAAGAGTGGGATGGAGAGGGGTGAGATCTTCTCTTGGACCAGACCTGACAGAACTCAGACTCTAGGAAATTACTCACTGACCTCAAGATTCCTTTAATTGTCTCAATGTTGTTAATTTTAGGTCGGCCAGTAATTAGTAATGGCTTTGAGGCCTCTGTTCTTAACCTAGACTGCATACCAGAATCATCTGAGAAGATTAAAAAACAAGAAAAAACAGTTACCTGGAACCCATCTTTAGATCAATTAAGTCATTTTTTCCCCTGAAAAATGGTAAATGATGTTGAACATCTTTTCATTAGCGCGTTGGCCTTTTATGTAATCTGTTTGGGAAACTTTCTGTTCAACTTATTTTCTTCAAATTTCATTGAATTTTTGTTGAGTTTCAGTTCTTGATAAGTGTGTGTATGAAATAGTGGTCCTTAGATAAATGATTTGAAAATATTTTATTCGATTCCGTGATTTGTCTTTTTACTTTTTTCATAGTTCATTTGCACAAAAGTTCTTAATTTTGATGAAATCTAGTTTGCCAATTTTTTATTTCATTGCTCATGATGTGCTGTCTTATTTAAGGATCAGTGGCCAAGTCCAAGGTTATAAAAATTTATGCTTGGGTTTTCTTCTAAAAGTTTTATAGTTTTTGCTCTTAAATTAGGTCATCAATACATTTTGAGTTAATTTTTGTGTATGGTGTGAGGTAGGGACCCAACTCCGCTTTTGCCTGTATGTATTTGGTTATCCCAGTTGTTTAAACAACTCTTCTCTCCTTGTTGAATGGTCTTGGTGCCCTTGTCAAAAGTCCTTATTTTAGTTTCTCTTTCATTTGGTCTCTAGACCTCTATAGTTTCAGAACGCTTTTTGTGATTTTGTGCATTAAGTTGATCAGCTTTCTCCACTGCCAGTTTAGGATTCAGTTTTGTCTGGTCTACTTATACTTACATTATTATTTTCTAGATAGTCTGGTTTGGTTTTGATTTTCTTTTAGCTCAGTAACTTTTTTTTTTTATTTTCTAGTCATTACATTTTCATTTATATGCTTTTGTTTATTTAAATTATTTTCTAACCTCATTGCAGTACAGTGTGTGTGTGTGTGTGTGTGTGTGTGTGTGTGTGTGTGTGTGTGATCTCCCTATCCACGTCCAGATCGCTTCTCGGCCTTTTGGCTAAGATCAAGTGTATCCACATCCATTTATTACCTTGTCCAGAGATTCCCCTCTCCCCTCACCAACCCCAGGTCCTTTAACCTCTGCTGTTACATGGTCTAATCGTAGCTTCTGCTGACCTCACTTGAGGTTGTGTTGAAATTATCTTTTTTCTCCTTTGTCTTTTCTACCACACTGTGATTCTCTGCAGTTGTGATCAGTTTTGCTTTTTTCTTTCTATACTGAGCAGTTCTTAACACATAGCAAGAGTCTAGCTAATGATTGGTCAACTGAAAGTTCCCTAACATTCTCTTAACCCTGGTTGTTCAGGGTTAACACTAAGTTTCTATTCATAAATGAATTTAGAACGTGGAAAGGTTATCATTCTAGGTAGAGGTCTTTCATTCGAAAGATATACCTAATATCTAATGTTGTTAGTTTCTGGTCTAAAGACCCTATGAATATTTTATTTAACACATGGGAGGTTACTACTTCCTTACTTTGCAAGTGAGAGAGCTATGACTTAGAGAGGTTAAGTCATTGGCCCCAGGTCATGCAGCTAATAGTAGACAGGTCCATAATTTGATCTCAGAGTTTGATTTCTGTGCAGTTAAGTAACATCTTCTTGTCGTAGGAACCCTGATCACTTCTTGTAAGAAGTCTTCCTACCCATACCTCTGCCAAGAACCTGGAAAATGAGGCCATTACTTCCAATTGAATTTTCTGTTATCTTTATTTTCTCATTCCAACCTAAAACGGTTATGAGGTAAAATCTATTCTTGTTCCTTTTGTGATTTCTTTATAGTATTTAAGCTTAAAAGTCCTCTTCCTTCTAGTAAGTTGATAATCAATTTTTTTATTTTAGTGTCTTTGTGTGTTATTTGCAACTATCTGGAATTTATTTTGGTTTTAACTGTATACTTACACAAGTTGCTGTGATGGTGGTGTATCTAAATAGCAAATCTTGTATTGCTGGATATTTTAGGTTACTGCCAGAATTGTGGTATGAATACTTTTGTGTAAGCCATTTTTGTTTTATTTTCCTTGAGGTGTTACTACTCTGACAGCAGTGGTGTAGGGCCTTCTTTCTTCTGTTCTGCAGTTGAGGTGTCCCCTCATTAGGCCACATCCTTCCAAAGGATTAAAGAAGTGAACAAATGCTTACTCAGGCATTTATTGACTAGGTGCAGAGCCTTGTGCAGGGTGCTGATGTGCTGAGTAGCTCTTAACGTTGGGGAGTTCTGCTTTAGAATATTGCGATGACCACCATGCCTGCCAAACATATTTTTGTTCACTTTAATGTGGATTTAGCCAATGTTGTTGGTTGGTTTTATTAAAATTGGCAGTCTTATAATGTGTCTGGGTCTAGAAGTACAGTTTTATCTTTTTTTTTAATTGTATTTTTTTAAATAGGGACAAATAGCAATTGGAATGTTGTCGACTACTCCAACTGTTCTTGTCTTAATTTTTTTAAAAAGTATTTCAGGGCCAGGGATTTAGCTCAGTGGTGCTGCCGCCTGCCTCCCAAGGTCCTGAGTTCGATCCCTGGTACCAAAAACAAAAACAAAAACATATTTCATTGCAGGTTACTGGATCATACTTTAAATTTTACTGGTGGGTCATCTAAAACTGGCATTCTGCCCTTCAGAAATTATCTGGCATTCAATGAAGTGGAGGGTTTTGATTTTAAGTTTTTAAAAAAGGCTAATTTAAAGGAAGAAATGGGTGATAAAAATTATTTTTATGAGTAGATAAATAATTTTATACTGGAGTATTTGTTCCTGTTTTGGATTATTGTTTAAATTATATAAAGACAGTTTCTTAGTTTTTCCTTTGAATAAATTTATGTATAATGAATGAATGAAAGGAATTTTGAAGAGATATAACTGTTTTATTCTATTTCAGGAATTCACTTAAACAACAATCTAAACCACTTGAAATTTGGCTTGGATCATCATAGACTGTCTTCTACTACACAAACAACAGCAAAGCAAGGGAAAATGGATCCGCCGACCACCAGAGCAGGAAGCAGCAAGATTGTTCTGTTGGTGTGTAACAGAGCCTGCACTGGGCAGCAAGGGAAGAGGTGAAGAAAGCCAACTTATTTTCTAATAAATACGGAGACTTTAAAGGTCACATGCCTTCAAATGTTCTAAAAGGGATGGGGTGAAAAATCTTTACTTTTAGTAGTATATATATGTATATATATTATCCCTTCTAAATATCCACACCTCATTTGGTGAGTTAGGAGTTAAAATTTGATGAGCTAGGAGTTAGGAATATAAAATTTGTGAGGTAGAATCTGAGTTAGAAGGGTTCTCAAAGCTCATACAGTTTCTGAAGGCCCATTTCATATGCATTTTAGCTCAGGCTCTTGCTCTAAACCTATATCTGGGTACTTTCTTAATAGATTAAAAAAAAATCCAAAATATTCTTATCTTCTCTCTCATCCGTACCCCGCAGTGCTCCTCATTCTTATGTCCCAAACTGAACTCTTTATCTTTCCCTGTAGAGCTGGCCCTCTAATGTTTCCTGTCTTGGCAGATGGCACCACTATTCATCAGCTTTGTAAATCAGAAATTTGGGAGTCAGAAATCTCTCAACTCTTTCTGCTGCCTTCTTTAAGAAATTAGGGGAGCCAGGCGTGGTGGCGCACGCCTGTAATCCCAGCACTCAGGAGGCTGAGGCAGGAGGATCGCTGTGAGTTTGAGACCAGTCTGGGCTACATACTGAGTTCCGGGTCAGTCTCAACTACATAGTGAGACCCTATCTCAAACGCCTCCCCCAAAAAAAAGAAATTAGGGGAGACTTAGAATGTCTTTTAAAGTAACTTTATCACAACAACATTGTCACCTCAGTAGTAACAAGAAGAGTTTCAGGAAAATGAGAACCAAGACCTGTCATGTAAAGGTACAAGAGCCCAATGATGAATGTAACTGTATTATATACTTAAAATGTATCAATAAACTCAATGAGGAAAAAAAAACAAAACAAAAGAAAAAGTGGGTGAAGAGAGAAGGAAGAAAAAAGGAATAATAAAAAAAGAAGTGTTTCAGGGAGAAAAGACTCTTATTTTTTAATATTTGTCATGTTAGTCTTCATTCAATCTTTAAAAAGTTTGCTTTGAAATAAGTTCCTTGGATGGTCATTGACCTAAATGGAAAATGTGTTGATGCATGTATTTATGATATTTTTAGTAAAAATGTTAGTTTTTACAGTATGTCAGACACTGTTTTAAAACCTCGGTAGGGCCGGGGATTTAGCTCAGCGGTTCTGCCGACCTGAGTTCGATTCCAGGTACCAAAAAAAAAAAAAAAGAAAAAAAAGAATTTGCATTAAAACCTGGGGAATGCTGCAGTGAACAAGACCAAGAGGGACCGTGTCCTCCCGGAGCTTGCGTTCTAGTTGGGAATGCATTTAAACAAGGAAACACATTTAACCTGAGACAGTGGTCATGGTGTTGCAGAGGTTGGAATGGGGGGCAGTGAGGATGACAAGAGGCCAACAGATCTTAGAAAGAGAACTTGAGAAGGCATCCTAAGGGGCTGTAGCTGCTCCCCGCCATGGGGTGGGGGTTGTGGGAATATCCTGGAGAGGATCCTGTGTGGCGGGGACACTGGCTGCAGTCATCAGGATTAAGAGCAAGGCATGCTTAAGGATGAAAGGTGACTCGTCCTGCAGATTTCTCTCCGTATCTCTCAAGAGTGAGGACAGTGTCTTCACAAGCTTAAATATTGCATGGCCTCTTATATGAGAAACCCCAAGTTTAAAAGAGCAAAATAGAGCCGGATGTGGTGATGCATGCCTGTAATCCCAGCACTTGGGAGGCTGAGGCAGGAAGATCGCTGTGAGTTCGAGACCAGCCTGGGCTGCATAATGAGTTCCAGGTCAGTCTCAACTACACAGTGAGACCCTGTCTCAAAAAATATAAATAAAATTTAAAAAAAAGAGCAAAACATCTTTTGCAAAAGTGAAGGGGATCTAGAGATGGAGGGAAGGAGAGATAAGAAGAAAGAGGATTAAGATGTGTTACATTCATGTATCAAGTTCCCCGATGACTGTGATTGTTATGTCCTGCAAACATACTCATAAAAAAGAGTGAAAAATAGGTTACATGGAGCTCATTTCACATCAGTAGTTTTCAGGCGGATAGGCTCACTGTTAAGTACTTCACGAGCAGACAGCTACATGGCTTTGGATCTTAGCACTTCTGCCTCAGCCTGGTCCTGAGCCAGAGTTAGTTAGATAATTTGTCGTTCATTCACTCGCGTCAACTATTTTCTAGGCATTGGCTGTTCTGGCTCCTAGGATAAGTTAACCACAGTTCTTGCTGTCAGATAATGTAGTCTGTTGGTGGAGACAGCAGTGTAGACAGGCAGTTACAGCACAGTGTAGTTAGTGCTGTGGTCCACACGAGGAACAAACCAACCAGTTGCTTCCTGCAGAAAGATGACTTCATTGGGTCATCACGTGGATGAGTAGGAGACAGCCTAAAAGGAGGATAGAAGGGGTGTCCCAGCCTTAGTGAGTGACCTGAATGAAGACCTGGATGTGTGAGAGGACATACGTAGAGATCAGCACACAGGTTTGAATAACTAGGGTAGCGGTGGTGAACCTTTCAGAGTGTTCAGTGATACAAACAGCCTGCTGTGGCACATGTGCCAAGGCTCACCACCCCTGGACAAGGGTGTGGGTGAAAGTTGAGGCTGGACTACTGGTCCTCAACTTCAGCTGCATATGAGAACCACCTGGGGCTCTCAGGGGAAAAAAAATACAGTCCTTGGGCTGCATTCCAGGTAATTTCATTAGAGTCCCCAGGGGCTGGAGTTGGGCACCACTTTTTTGATGCTTCTTTGGCACTTTCATTGTGAGCTGAGACCGAGAACCCCAGTTCTGCCTCTGATTCTCTTAACACATGGTCTAAGGTTGGAGCTGCCTGGCAGTGTCACTTGCTCATCGTTGCCTTCCTTATTGTCTAACTCCCAAGTGACACCTGCCTGCCCTTTAGGTTGTGCAGCCCTGACTGATCCTTTGTCACCTCACTCCTTGTAGGCTTAACACACTGTGTCCCAGACTCCTGGCCACTCCTGCCTCCTTTCCTCCCTGTCTCTGTTAATCCTTTTCCCTCGCTACCTCATAGCCTAGCATTAGTCTCACTAGAAGCCATTTTGGTGTATAAGCCTTCAATTTTAGTTAGAAATCTAAGTTTTTCTTTTGATCTTTTCGTCATCTCTTTGTGAGTTACCATGGAATTTCCTGTTTGAGTTCTGTCCTAACACCAATTATATTGTCCTTCCATGTGGGATTGCTGTACTTTTAAGGTAATTACAGTATTTATGTGTGGTAGATTTGGACTGCCTTTTGTCCTGCACTTGGAGAAGACAATAGCGTGGGACCTCTTACAGAAGGAAATCTTGGAAAAGATGAAGTATTTCTTGAGACCTACTGTTTGCATTCAGGTGTGTAAATACTTTGATATCCCAGCAGAGCATACATATGTATCCAGTGAGGAAACAGTCCTTACAATGAAATTTGAATTTCTTCTATTCAGATTTTCAAGCCTGAGAACTTAACTGTCATTTTATAAAAGGAGCTGGTTGGTTGTTACAGGATTTCCCTTGAACTGCTTTGTCTTCTTTGACAGTATTTATCTAACAAAGTTCAGTATGTGCTCAGCTTGGAGAAGTTACAGTAGAACTTTTATTTATACCTTTAAAGTACTGTTCCTATGTTAAGGTGTCTGTGGAAGACCAGTGAGTGCATATGCAGTGCAAGCAGTGTATTACTTGTCTTCTATAATATTTAATATATGAATTGCATTTGGGCAAGTCATAAAGTATATTAAGATGGCCTAACGACCTAGCAGTATTATAGAGAAGCATTTTATAGCACAGTTTGCTATAATGCCACATGCCCCTGAAGAGAAATTCAGTCCAGTTTCCATTGGACATTTGATGCAGGTGTGTCCCTTCAGTTTGCGCGTGGTCAGTGTCGTGGGGATAACATACTTGCTGCCCCAGGAGGAACAGCCCCTGTGCCACCCGACAGTAGAAAGGTAAGAAAAACATCACCTAGAATTTCACATGTGCTCGTGTGCAATTTAAAGCGAAACATTGTATAGTTCCTATATAAGTGTAATTGGTGGTTTAAGTTCATTTTGAAATTAAACACTTAGTTTTTTAATTCATATTTAAGTATGAAGTATTTTATGTACTTTGTTATAATTAGAAAAGTCTTGGAGCACTCAGGAAAGCAAATTAAGTATGTCCTGGGACTGCAGATAAATTACACTTCTGTGTTTATCAAGATTGTTTTCCATAGTAGCTTTCTATGCATGCCTTGTTCCTCTCTGAAACCCTGAGAGGGTAACTTGTGGCCTAAAAGAAAAAGCCCAAGTTCCGTAGTACAGGAAGTTTTGCACAGTTTGAACTCTGATTATTTTCCTTTTGTCAGACCTTGCCTTCTTTCCCCACTACCCTAAATTTTCCACAGTATCAAAGTAATGCTTGAAAATCCATACTGTTTTATGTGTGCCTTTGTGTGTGGTTTCCTGGGTCCATAATTCTTTCAAGTTTTTACAATATTTCTCTTCCTCCCATGGATTAGTTCTCTTTGCTACTTCATGCTTTCTGTGCTTTCAGTTATGCTTATGATGGCCTGTTGTGTTAATAAAATTACATATATGTATATTGATACATAAATTGGAAATTCATGTTTTTATTATGGCTTTTTTCAACAGATATTATAGTGTCTGAATTTCAGGATTTAAATAAAATATACAATATAGTTCTGTTTTAAAGCCTCCTGTCTGATTTTAGAGATGAAAACAGATTAGATTATAATTCAGAATATTGTATAGCATAAGAAAGTAAAAGAGTGATATTTACTGAGTGCTAAAAGGTTTTCTCAGGCGATGGCAGTGGTGGGTGAGCAGGGGTGGAGGGTGTTGCTTTTGTGAGGGAGGGAGGGACCACGCAGTGTGGAGCAGCGTGGGCCCCAGTGTTAAGCTTGGAGTGTGGAGAGGGTGGAGGAGTGGGAGAGCAGACTGTTCCAGGAGGCTGGTCTAGTCTCTGTGTGGGTAAGCCTGATTGAGGACAGCTTATAATGTGATACCAGCTTTTTCCAATCCCCTGATTTCTCTATTGAGAATTTTAATTTAAAGATTTTTCAGTCTATTTGTAAATTAGTTACTAAATCCAAGCACCTAATGGTCTCACTAAGAATGTTTTCTATTGGGGAACTATGAAGATTTTTCAGAAATCACAGGATTCTAGGTAAGAATATAATTGAACTTAAGTGAAATCATTTCTTAGATGGTAATATGTGGCTTCCCTATTCTGTAGGGCATTAAAGTCCTGTGGACCCGGTGGTACTGCTCATGTGAAATTAGTAGTAGAATGGGACAAGGAGACAAAAGATTTGTGAGTAGTTTTGAACTTAATATTTATTTATTCAGTCATTTCATTGTTTTAATTATTTTAGTAGCACACTTTTGATCTGCCAAATTAGCTGAAACATAAATCTCTCATCTCTTTAGCTAAGTTTGTTGTTAATCCTTTTTTAAAGCAGGCTGTTATTCCTTTCCTGTATGGTCTTCCTATCTGAAAATCTTAGAACATTTATCTGCTACTGACAGAGAAGCCATATACTTATTAATTGCTATATAGGTACAATTACTTTGATTTTTATTACTGGCTCATCAGCTCTAGTAAGCTATGTCAAATGTATACCCTTAGATTCAAATGACAGATGTGATTTAGTCCGCACTGTTCGTGGATAATCCCAGAAAAATTACCTTCAAGTTAGTTCTTAAGATAACTTTGCAAATGGAGAACCTTTCAAGGACATTTTGGAACACGCAGAGGGGTTGGATGACCACTTTTGCTTTCTTACATGTGAATCTTTTGGCTGTGAATTCATAGCTGCTTTGTAAAGTTGTAATTGTAGTTTTGTGTCTCTTCTGTAAGAAATCATCTGATACCTGGCTTTATCCTCTACTTGCAGCTTGTTTGTTAATACTGAGGATGAATATATTCCTGACTCAGAAAGTGTCCGTCTGCAGAAGGAACGTCATCATCAGCCTCAGACCTGCACCTTATCCCAGTGTTTCCAACTCTACACCAAAGAGGAGCGGGTGAGAGATAGGGCAGCACTTCTTGAGTGCTGAGGGTGGTTGGCAGGGGCACGACAAGATGACAGTGAAGAAACAAAATCTGGCCCAGAAGACCCCCAGGATTTTGTGTTTCCATAGATGATGCACATGCAAGTGCAAGTCCTTTAGGACTCATGACAAAAGCAGTTTAGATTTTTGATAGAGTGGAATGCTGTAGAAATGAATCTTTATAATTTTTTAAAAATTGTTTAAAAAATTATTGATGATTTCTTTTCTATTTAGAAGTTTTATTTTCCTTAATGACAAAAACCAGTGTTTTTCAACTGAGAACTTAGGTGTAAGGATCCATTTAAACTTAAAGTAACAGAAAATTAGAATCTTTCTTTCTTAGCTGCATAAGCCCCATCACAGGTGTTCAGTGGACACGTGTGGATAATGGCCTCTGTACTGAACTTGTGGGCACAAAGTTCTGTAGGACAGCAGTGCTTTGCAGTCGATAGGGACTCAGTAAATATTTCAGTGGAAGGACGGACAGACAGAGTGATAGATAAGTCTCTGTGTGTGAGACCTTGGCACGTGTGTTCTTCTGTGACTTTAAGAAACCTTGGCAGAGCACTTGGAGTTTACCTAATCTTGTATTGATGTTTAGGATAATGATTTTGACCATTAGCTTTTAGTCTTCACTCCTGTACGTAGGGTACTTTAAAACTCACTTTCTTGTGGTTGGATCTGTCTGCCTAATTTCAGATGGGTGACTGCTCTGAGTACCTTCCATTCTGAGGGTCTGAGGGGCTTGGATAACACTGACAGTGACTGAAGTTAACCTGAAATGTCTCCTGGTCACTACAACCGAGGCAGTGCTCTCTCTGAAGTTTGTTCATACTCAAAACTCACAGTTTTCTTCAAATATTTGAAGAATTTTCTTACCTCCAAGCTGTTCATAGTAGCTCCTTTAATAGTAGCTTTTCATGAGACATGTTTTCTCAGCTTTGGCCTTTATAAAGTGCCTGACTGTAGATTGTGTGTGGCACCCTGTTCTTTTTATCTCTTGGGAGATAAGTGCATGACTTGGGAGATGTTTGAGAACAATGCCACAAAGGTCGGAGGTGAGCAAGTCTACTAGATGACATCACTGGTGTCCATAAACATCTCCCTGACCTAGAATGATTAGTTGATGCTAGCAAGATTTCAAACGGATTCATTCATTTAAGTGGAAGCAAAGGTCCTGGGGTAGAAAGGAGCTTGGCATGGTATAAAATGAGGCTGTGACTGGAACGTGAGAGGTAAAGGAGAGTTAAGACAGCATGAGAGTTAAGACAGAGAGCAGGAATTGTCTTTCTAGTGTTCTAGAACAGTGCTTGGCACATGGGAAATGTTCAGTAAACATGTTCTAGAAGCACGAGTGGTACTTGGGAAGTTCAATATTGGGCCCAAAATAATACTGCAAATATAGAAGAGGAGGAGGAAAGACTTAGCTAGCAGTAGGCTGCATGACAGTCTTCAGGCTCAGTATTGATCAGCAGTGCCACATGGGGTGAGCCACTGTCGTGCTGTGTGACAGGGGCATTAGAAACAGTGCCCAGAACTCCGATGGTGACAGCACTGCTCTTTTAATTGCTTTAAACATTCATTTTAAGAGATGGCAACCTGGGACACCCTCTAACGTGCGGGAAGTGGGGTGCCTGGAAGTCATGCCTAGCCTACTTGACAGAAGAGGCCTTAAGGGATCTTATAGTTAATTTCAGGCACTTGCTGTCGACAAGGGATTGAACTTAATTTTCTGTAAAAGGCAGAATCTAAAGACGGCAAATGACAAGGAGTGATTTTGTTTTAAGAGTGGAAGACCTTTGCGGCAGGCCATCTGAAAGGGGGATCACTGTCTGCTGAGCTGGCTCCCTTCATTGCGAGGTAGTCAGTATCAGGCCCAAAATAACAGAATAAATATAGAGGAGGAGGAGGCGGGATGGCAGTGTGGTCTGCAGGTCTGAGAGCTTTTCAGCAGCATACAGTGAGATCAATACAGAAACCAGAGAAGCTGCTGAGAAACTGTCGGAGCAGTTAGACATTGTCACAATATTCTTACTGTATTTTATGAGAGCATCTGTTTGTAATATATTAGAGTTAGATAAACAAAAACGTGTTCCTTTTGCATTACAAGATCCTGTACTGGGAATTTTAATATGCCACGTGGAGTTGTGGGCTTACCAGATGGCAGTTTAGTTCCAGTCTTTCTGATTTACTCCTGTCTACCTAAAGTTTTGTCTCTACCTTTCTTGCAAACATGACTAGTCTCCTTGTCATGAAAATAAAGTTTCCTTAGTTCTGTTCTTCTTTGAAGTTAGATACCAGTCTTTCTCCTTTGTTCTGCCCAACTTTACCTTCAGTGTGCCCTCCCCCCTGCCCCACCTCCTCCACTCATCTCTCTAACTTGCATTTTGGTACAGGTCTCTGCAGTTTTTAGAGGCCCCTCATATGTTGAGTTCAGTGGCCTCTGCTCAGCCTACACTGGATGTAGCACTGATGACCACTCATTGCCATTCTCTTCCTTACATGAACAAAGGGGATGGTTCTGATTTTTTCTGACTGTGCATCTGCAGGCTCTGGTGCCGTCTGAGTTTTGGTATTTCCCTTAAGAAGAGGCAGTCTCCAAAATCTGTCCTTGGCTCCTTTCCATTTCAGTGGGAAATGTCATCCATTCCCATGGCTTCCTTTACCTCATTATACTGATGATCCCAGATCTGGTGTATCTTCTGAAGGCAGAATACATTTCTCACGTATTAGCATCTCTTGTGCTCATACATCCTCATCTTGAAATTGTCCCCACAGAGGTGGCATAAGTGAATTTTAGGGCCTCAGATAGATGTTTAGAAAGATTTTGTTGATAGCAGGAGGGGAGGGTTATTTGGAAAATTCAGTGCTTAGGGGAAAAATAGAATTGATGAGGTCCAGATGATAGAATGAGTGAGGACTTGAAGTGAAGATGGTATCAGTGGGTATGCAGGGGAGACAGCCACGAGGAATGGCAGAGAGAGAATGACTTTGGACGGACATGAGCAAGGGAAGGGAAGTGTGAAGGGTTTAGAGTTTGGTGTGATTCTTTGGTGGGCAGCCGTGGTGTTTGCTAAGATAGGACATACAGGAGCAGAAGGAGGGTCCATGTTGATGGAAAGATGACGATTTGAGTTTGAGGGTACACTGTTTCTGTCTGGGATGCTTCTGTGACGCCTAATCCTCTCTGAAATATCTGCCAGTTTAGTTGTTCCTCTGTGAAGGATAATCTGGTCAGCACACATTCAGGTGCAACGTCTGCTCAAGGGCCACTTGTGATTGTGTTTGTTACTCCTCTGGCTCCCTCATGGGCAGTTTCCAGAGAGATTCTGAGTTGTCCCATGACTTGAACAAGAAGTTAGTCCGGCTGTCTCTTGAGGCCTTGCATGAAGCAATGCGTAACGGAAGTCGTGCTCCTTGTTTTCAGCTTGCCCCAGATGATGCCTGGCGCTGCCCACACTGTAAGCAGCTGCAGCAGGGGAGTATCACGCTGAGCCTGTGGACTCTGCCTGATGTGCTTATCATACACCTCAAGAGATTTCGCCAGGTAAGAGAATCTTCTGTCATAGGGGAGGGCTGCGAGCCTGGGCTTCCTGTGCCTCCTGGGGTGGTGTGTGGGGTCTTTGGAGTCCCTGTTTGATCCAGTGAGCCTGTGTAGGCACGTGGATAGATGCATGTTTGCCCCTATTTGGGGTTGTATTTTGTTATTTCCCAAAGCAAAATTCAAGCTTTCTGTGACCCTTTAAGTCCTAACCATTTTAGTTTATATTGCAGATATTTTATCTTGTCTTGAGGGTTTACTTTTGACTTGTAGATGTTTTGCTTAAAGTTTGGTATGTTTACTTGGGGTTAAAAAAAAAAAAAAGAGTAGAGATCCTTTTTAGAGGAGAAAGAGTTCCATTTCTGCCTGATGTAATAATGAATGTCAACCTGCTCCCAGGGAACTGTTGCATCATTGAGGAGATGAATCACAAATACATAATAGAGAAGATAGGCTCTTTGTTGTGTTGCTTTGTGTATCAGTTTTTCCAGAAAAACCTGTCTGTTCCCTGAGGTCACGATTCTCTCACGCAGCCCTGTTGTAGAAAGGTAAACAGGAGCTGAGCAGAGTCTGCAGGCCTGGCTTTAAGGATGTCTGTGAAGGATGAGCAGGTGTTTTCCAGGTGAGATGGAAGCTGGGATGCTTATAGTGGCACAGGGAACAGTGTCTGCAGAGTCTGGGAGCTGGAGGAACACAGCACTCGCATCTGGAGGAACACACCCCCCTTGGGCTGGTGCTCCAGAGGGCGGGATGGTGGTGGAGCTGGAGTGTGTTTTGGAAAGGTCATTCTGGCTCCTGTCTGGAGGAGTGATGAGAGGGACTATAAGAATGAAGCCAGGTGGGGTAGGAGGAGGCGATGGCAGTCATCTGGGGAGGGCTGCTGCTGGCTTGGAACAGAGCTTTGGCCATGGAGATGTGAATCAGGCTGAGCCATGCGCAGGACCTCCGAGGACGCAGAGGTGGCAGGGGTGACACGGCCCCTAGAGGCCAGGGCTTTTGTGTAGGAACTCTGTTCATCATACTTCCATGGGTGTATGCTGTGGGCTCCACAAGGGGAAAGCTGATTGAGGGTGTGGATGCCCGCCTTCTCTGTCTCTTTCTCCCCACACGGACTGATTTCCCTTGCTTTCTGTTTCTTTTGGACGTACATCTCCCTTCCAGAAGCATAGAACTGAGTGTCATCTTTGACTCTTCTCTCTTATCCTTCTCACCTAGGCAGTCCTTGCAGCTTAGCTGTGCCTCTCCATGGAATCTTTCTATGTCTCCCTCTCTTCATACCTGTTGTTACCCTGCCAGTTCAGACGTTGTGTTATTTTGCAGCTGGTCCCAATTACAGTGTTTTTAAATTGATTTCTTAACCTCCGTTACTGTGCCTTCTAACATACTTTACTTGCTGCTCACACAGAACTCCAGTGACATCACCTCCTCCATAAAAGCCCAGTGCTTCCCCCTTCACTACAGAATAAGGTCAACAGTCTTCATCCTGGCCTTCCTGACTATTTAGAAGGCTTTCTCCTTTCTTTTATGAGTTTTTCTTCCCGAAATAGATCTCTAGCTCCTGGGGGTTGACATATCTATGCCTGATTAGTTTTGTAAAGCTCCTATGACACAGACCACAGGAAACATGTAGTAAAAGTCTATTCAACTAGTGGTTGACTTTCAAAGGATTAGCCTGTGCACTTAATAGAAAATACGAATTGCTCGAGATTGTCAGTTAAATAGATACATTAAGCTAAGTCAATGTGAACTGGTAATGTTGGGGGGCACTGCTTGTCAAGTGGCTTCTCTGGGTCAGCCACTAGATGTGTCCTTCACGTATTTACCACTCCACTAACTTCCATGACTCTCTGACAGAGGTATCCGCATAACCACCTGAAATTTGCCCATTATTTTGTAAATTGAAAACCTGAACACTCTTAACAGGTAAAGAAATGAAGACTCCAAGAGATTCATTTACTCTCTGTATATAGATTCTTACTGGCTCCATCTTAATTGTATTAAAACTTGTTCCACTAGACCACTGGTGGTGACCTATGGCACATGTGCCGCAGTGGGCTATTGTATCATTGAAAGCTCTAGAAGGTTTGTCCTCACTGCTCTAGACAGTTGAAACTCTTAGTCTGTTTCCCTTACTATAATGTGTGTCTTGGGAAACGTTAGATAGGTGACTCCGACGGCTTTAGCAAATAGCATCCACATTCTACGTGAACTGATCTGCCATCTGCTTGCATTAAAATATCATCAGAACTTGTTTTTCTTCTTGTGACAGGAAGGAGACAAGCGTATGAAACTTCAGAACATGGTCAAGTTTCCTTTGACTGGCCTGGACATGACACCTCATGTGGTTAAGAGAAGCCAGAGCAGCTGGAGTTTGCCATCCCATTGGTCCCCATGGAGACGGCCCTATGGACTCGGGAGGGACCCCGAGGACTACATCTATGACCTGTATGCTGTGTGCAATCATCATGGCACCATGCAAGGGGGGCACTACACAGGTCTGCAGCGTGAGAGGCCGTGTGTCTGTGCTGACATTGCTTCAGGCGGGTTTTGCTCACAGTAGGGTTACTTGGCTTTAGAACGGCCCTTTCTCTTCCAGTGGGCAGTGTACCAGTTGTGAGGGCGCTTCATCCTCCAGGTCTCTGTCTAAGAGCAAGTGTGTTACAGACCTTCGTCTTTGTCCTGAGCTGGGTCATTTAGTAGTTACCAGATCAGACCGGACAGTATGTGTATGGGTAGCACTGTCTGGTCGACAGGGGATTCACTCTGTTTATCCCATTTGCACTCCTCATTTAAGGTTTTGCTTTACTTCTTTGAGATTCTAGCCTCTGCCTTTCTTAGAATGACTCTGAACCATTTTTATGGTGTCTTTATTCTTTTTGTTCTAGGGGTAAATTTACTTTTTCATTTACAGAAGCAACTCTGTTCATCATATGAAATTTAGAGATTAGAGAGAGATGGAAAGAAGATCATGATCCATGGACTTAGATAACCATTGCTAAGATTTTTAAAAATTGTGATAACATATACATAAGAAAGTTACCATTTTAAGTGTATATAATTCAGTGGCATTAGAAATACATAGTTTTACAACTATCATCATTATATATCTCTAGAACTTTTTTCATCTTTTCAAACTGAAATTCTGTTCCAGTGATGGAAAACCTTTTAGAGCTTTCAGTGAAAACAACCTGCTGTGGCCCGTGTGCCATAGGTTCGCCACCATTAAAGAATAATTTCCATTCTTTTCTCTTGTAGCCTAACAGCCACCATACTCTTTGTCTTTATGAATTTGACTAGCTACCTCATATAAAGTGGAATCATACAGTATTTGTTCTTCATGACTGGTTTATTTAGCATAATGTCTTTAAGGTTCATCCATGCTGTAACATGCATTAAAATTTTCTTCCTTTTTAAGGCTGAATAATGTTGTCTTCTATATAGGTAAGACTTTGCGTATGGCATATACTGCCAGTGTGTTCTGTAAATTGTTGCTGTTATTTTACACTGTTGTGATTATACTGGTGTGTTCTATTGAAGGCAGCATTAGGCACTTACTTAGCTTGCTGTGGCCTCTGTCACATTAGAGATAAATATGTCTTAACCTTTCTTCAGGAGTATAATCAAGTAGGGGGAGAGATAGATAAAGTAAAACTTGCAGTAAGTGTAGTAGGTTCTGTGGTGGAAGTCTGAACCGTGGGTAGAGGCAGGGGACCGGAGGAGGGAGTGGTCACAGAGGTACAGCTTTTACCGTAGTGCTCTATAAGGTTACATCACCTGGTGGTTTGTGTAACTACATTCTGAGGTTCAAGTGATGAAACTGCCTGTCACCACATTTCTTAGATGCATCCCTGCCTTCTAACACTGATGAATATTTGTGTGTATGTACTTTTTCTGAATTTTAGTTCTGAATTTCCTTGGGAGTTCTGGAAATGGAATTGTTAGGTTAAGTGTATGCAAAACCACTTGAAGGCCAGGCAGATTTTAGGGCTTCTTGCCTGGACATCTGTTTTATATAAGGACTGAAGAGAGAATAATACTGTTAGTTTGATTTATCTGCATGGGTGGCCAGGACTATAATTTCTGCATCCTTTATACTCAGTGTGTTTCACACAGTACTTCTCAGGAACTTTATCTCATCAATTCTGTGGTTTCTGTAGCAAGAGCATAGCACAGTAGTGCTAACCATGTATTTACAGAGGTAAGGGGAGGTAAAGGAGGGCTGTGCTCTCCAGGACTCTTTCCTTTGCAGTTAGCCTTCCCCACATCACCAAGGGCAAGAGTCTGCCAGCCTTCCCAGCCCTGCAGAAGCTCTCTTTCAGCATATTCCCCCTGCCCCTCCCAGGATAGGAGCTCAGGAAGATGCCATTTCTTACTCTTAAAATCTTTTTTGTTCAATCTCTTTAAATATTTAGATGATGCTGGCAGCACTTGTTTGTGAGAGGAATAACCCCAACTTTTCAGTGTGTCATAATGGACCAGTTTGGACAGCCTCTCCTTGCCCTAGGAAGCACTTACAAGAAGAAACAGAATGATAGGGAGGTTCCAGAGGTGCTCTGACTTCGTAGAAGACTAGATATTACTTACATGCTTAAACACATCGTACCTTGTACTTTGACTTAAAGCCGTTTGGGTTATGATATTGTATTTGGTGTCTTATGTATTTTATGTGTATATTTTGTGAGAGCCACTTATATAAAAGTTCTGCTACTTGGGTTTTTGCTTTTGTGTCATTATTAGTAATACTCATGTTCTTTGATAGTTATGGAATTATATGCTCATGGTCTTAGAATGAAAACGTTTAAAATAATTTAATTTCATTGATTATCTAATGTAATTTCATTGATTATCTGGTGTGCCATTGTCAGCATTCTTGATTGATACTCATCCAGCTTAAGCTTTGGTAAAGAAGTCATTTTCCATTTAATACAGTTCCTCAGGAAAATATAGACTGGCTTGTGATGTGCTTTTGAGCAGGAAATTTTGGGGAAAAATAGGATAGTGTTATGTTTTAGCATATCCTTTTGCTCTTCATTTAGAGCAGTCTCTGGAAAATGCCTAAAAAGCCTTGGAGGCAGTATAATTTAGTGAAAAGAGCTCAGGTTAGAAGCCAGACCCATCTTTCCAGCTCTTGATGCTGGACAGGTAACGTTACTCTGACCTGGGTACCATAGTAGTAAGCAGAAAGTGAGCATGACTGCCTCATGGGGGCCCCTTACCTCGGAGTTACTCAGATAGTTTCTATATTATATTCCCTTTCCTATACTTAAGCTATAGTGCTGGTTTTCTGGAATTTAAGTCTTAGATTAGAGAACACTTCAGATACCCTCAACATTGTTGAATTAAAGGTGCTGGATTTTAAACTTTTCAATTGGAAAGTCTATTCTGATATGTTCCTTATTTTGCACTAGTTCTAGCTGTAGTTACACGATATGTTTGTGGCTGACTTGTGCAAGGATTCTAGAACAGTGCTTCTCAAACTATCTGATGAAGACTGGTTTTTGTACTTACAGTTTTCTAATCCTTCATGAGCCAGTACTTTTGTAAAAACACTATAGTAGTATCCAGTTGCTATAAAAACTGTTGAATGCTTCTCTCTGTTTTTGGTGCCTCCCTTGTGGCCAGATGCCAGTGTGAGCCACAGTTCAAGTGGCACTGGCCTAGAAAACATAATCAGAAGGTAGTGCTGGGGAGGAAAGCAAGCAGAATGTTTTTGGCAAATAGATTTTGCTCCAAAATGAGTTACTGTGCTTCTACACCATGACTGAGAACAAATCATCCCTAAGGAAAGTAGACTGAAGCTAGAGCAAGGTTACTGTACCCCTTGTCTTGGGCTCTTGCTCCCACCTTACGTTCTGCTCCCCTCCCATCACCACTCCAGAGTAGGAGGCCTCGCCAACTGGAGCGTTTATACATCAAGCCTGACCTGACACCATTGGCCAGGCGAGGTTCAGCTCTGTTTGTTGCCTGTGTCTCCCTTTCTCCACAGTTCTGACTCTGGGGGAGGGGGAGTGGTCCTTAGTTGCAGATGACATTTTCCCATGTTCATAGATGCTTTCTCTGCTTTCCTTTTGGGGACCTATCTGGTACAGTAACCCTTCCTTGTCTGGGGCCCATTCATCTCTTCTGGTTCTCTACTTGCTGAAGTTGTGCAGCTTTTTGAGGGATTCACTTCTAGTACCTCTCAGGTCCTTACATGCTCTGTTTGTGGAGCCATAATTGTTTAGTCTGGCATTCAGCTAGATATTCTAGCACTCATTCGATCTCACTCCAATAAATGGATATTTTTAGAAAATAAGATGTTAATATGCCTTTTTGGATCAGTCTTATAAGACTCCTTGAAACTTGGTGACTTGGCTTCATGAACTCTTAAGTTTGCTTTGTGAGAGGTTAAACCCAGGACTTTGTGCATGCCAAGCCCATGCCTCCAACATCAAACTGTTTAAATTTTTGTTGGTGCTTGAATGCTCTATTTCTATTTCAAGTTTAGAGTCTGAACTGAGGAGAAGGCCTCCTACATCCATGAGCTTATATGTTCTCAATTTGCTAGAGAACTCCCATGAAGCATTGTTTGTAGTATCTGCTGAGAGAAGAAGGTAGAACAGAGGTTTAAGTGAAAGCTCAAGGATTGGAGAGACTGGAAATGAGCTAGGCTCTGCCCTTTACCAGCTGTGTGAGCATGGGCATGCTGGTAGTGTTTTTGGACATATGTAAATTGAGAATAAAATAATAAAATAAGTCTTGGAATTAAAATGGGGTGCTTGGCATATGATAAGTGTTAAATAGAAGTTACATGCTGGGTTATTAATATTATTTCTCTTTGTATTATTTTGTGTCTAATAAACACTAGAATGTTAAATGCTTAAATTAAGGTTTTTAGTTCTGGCACTATTGACATTTTGATTGTATAATTCTGTGGTGTTCTGTGCATTGTAAAATGTTTAGCAGCATCCTTGCTTCTACCAACTACATGTTGGTAGTAGGCTCCCATCCAGTTGTGTCAATTAAAATATCCCCTTCACTGCTAAATGTCCCCTGCAGGGCAAAATTGGCATAGTTGAGATCCAGTGGTTTAAATAAGTATATTGTTTTCTGAGATGAAATCAAAATGTGTCTACTTGGAATAATTTGGAATTTATCAAAATATTTTGCCTGAGTGATACGGAGTTTTGACTTTTTTAACCTCTGTGTTATGTACAGGCTTATACAGTTCTCGAATTAATTAGATTATCCAGAGAGATGGTGTCTGTGGGTGAAAGGGCAAGGCAGGTGTGGCTTCCCCCTGGTACTGACTGTTGGCTCCTTTTGGCAGCTCACTGTAAGAACTCTGTGGACGGTCTCTGGTATTGCTTTGATGACAGTGATGTGCAGCAGCTGTCAGAAGATGAGGTGTGCACACAGACAGCCTACATCCTTTTCTACCAGAGGCGGACAGCCATCCCCTCATGGTCGGCCAACAGCTCGGTGGCAGGTAAGACTGACTCCTGTTCTTGGTCAGTTTTGCCTGAAGCAGAAGATTGTAATTCATGGTCCACAGGATCTCAGGAGGCTTCATGACTGCCAGTTTGATCAGATTGATTCTCACGTTTCCTTTTAATCTGGAAACCTACATATTTGTAACCAAGGACGTGAGGGTGGACTGTGAGGGCACTTGCGGGTCAGCAAGGAGACAGGGCATGGAACTTGTGTTGTTTCCCTGTGGGGTGAGTACACAAGCCAGTGTAGAAGCTGCTCTGAAACCTCCACCATGGGTTCCTTGGTGCTTGTTTCATTTGAGCCATGTGTTCATCTAATGTGAGTGTGATCATAACACCCACTTAGTGGGATCATGGTATTCACTACATTAGGTAAAAGCATGTGAAGAACGCTTTGTAAAGGGGGAAAAGCATTAAAAATAGTCTTTTTCCCAATTCAGAGGTGACCTGTTTTGTTAGGGGGATTGAGGGATGTAGTACTAGATGGCTTGCATTTAGTCTCATCCAGCCTGTTACATTAATAAACAGAGCATTGGGGCTGGGGTTGCAGCTCAGTGGCACCACGCCTCTCTCCTAAGCACAAGGTCCGAGTTTGATCTTTGGTACCGGAAAAAAAAGCCAACCAACAAACAGAGCAGTGAATACCAACACACAGTATGCATGCAGCGCACATTATCCAAACGGGGCATGTTCCTGATTCAGGGTGTGACTGTCAGCATAGCAGAGGACTGTAACATGGTAAAGCGTCAACAGGACAGGCGACAGAATGGTGAGTTCCACCCACTCCACGCCACAAAGACTGAGCTTAGAGCAGCCGGAAGGGAGCTTTACTCAAGCGAAGCAACCCCCTTGCTGGAGCCAAACCCCACCCAGTGTGTCGCCACTCATTTCCTGACAGGAGGTGGAGCTCCAGTGCTCTGAGGTCTCCTGTGCTGTCCGGAGTTGTGAGCAGAAAGGACAGCTGTTGAGGTGCGCTTGAGACAGTTTCACCAGCACTTTCTGTTGCCCTAACACATGGTTCACGGCATCCCTAAAACAGACTGATTGACACATTGTTGTGTGTATTATTAATATTATGAGTGGTTAAACATTTCCATAAGAGACTGGGGTTGCAGCTCAGTGGTGGAGTACTTACATGCACTAGGCAAGCCTTGGGTTCTGTTCCTAGCACTGTCACCCGCTCCTTAAGGCACTCAAGCTAAGTGCTGTGCTTTTTCTCTATTTGAGTTAGAAATATGACTGCTAGTGGTCAGAACAGTGCCTGGCCTGTAGGTACTTAATGTTTGTAGAGTGGATGATGTGTGAAGAATGTCTGTCTCTATTCTGTTCCCCTGCCAACTCTGAAGATTCAGACATTGCATTCTGAGGTGTTCTTCCCTAACCTTGCATTTGTGACTCCTGCAAATCTTGTCTGTTGGAACTGCCTTGTTTCTTCATCTTCTATTTGGCTCTGGGAGTGTACGTCAGCCCTGCAGTGAGGACGTCAGGACCCGCAGCTCGGCTGTTGCACCTTCCCTAGGATATGGGCGCTCAGTCTGACTGTTGGACCCTGGCTGACCATTGTGCCCACCTCCTTTTCTACAGGCTCCACGAGTTCTTCCCTGTGTGAGCACTGGGTGAGCCGGCTCCCGGGGAGCAAGCAAGCCAGCGTGACCTCTGCAGCTTCTTCCAGACGCACCTCCCTGGCCTCACTCTCAGAGTCCGTGGAGATGACCGGGGAAAGAAGTGAAGATGATGGTGGGTGTGGCTTTTGGTGACAAATTTCCAAAGTGGCAACTGACGGACATAGCACAGGGTCCCTCAGGTTTATGAACAGAGTCCCAAGTGATTGTTGGAGAACCGAAAGGGGACCTAGTGACTGGGGCTGCATGGCTGTTGGTCACATCATAACAGATACATTTTATTTATTTATTTATTGATTGATTGGTACCGGGGATTGATCTCAGGTTCTTGTGCTTGCGAGGCAGGTGCCAGAGCCACTGAGCTAAATCCCTGGTCCACAGATACATTTTATATGAAGAGGGTTGTTGGCTTTTCTGCCATGATCCAAGACTTTTTACTTCTACTTTATTATTTCTGCTCTGATAATCTGGTGTGCAGACTGAAGCTTTAACTCTGAATAATAATGTGCACATTTTTTTTTTCCAAAGTGTTTTTAAAAATCCCTAGAATGGCTTTAAAGGCTTAGGGAAGTTGTACCTTGCCCAGAGTTATCTGTTCCCAGCCTGGTGAGGAGGCCCCTGACTCTCCTAGCTTGTGGTTCTAAACATAGCTACAATATAAAGAGTGGGAAAATATGATGAAAATTGAACTCTGCATTTGTTTTTAACTGCCTCGCTGCTTGAGTAATGGCAGGGCAGACCTTGGCTCTAGCAGGGAAGCCTGGTGGTGTGGGAAGGACCAGGCAACCAGTGCGAGAGCTGGGAGGAAGAGAGAATGAGCTCAGCCTCGACAGTGAGAACTGTGACTCATCTTTCAACAAGCCTCACTCTTCAGCCAGCCCTTCAGTCGCTCTAATCTGCTTCTAGTGGTGGTGGATAATTTGAGAAAATGAAAAGGAGCTAAAATTGCAAGAAGTTGGAAGAAGAAGACCAAATTAGATCAGCGTCATGGTTCTAGCTCTGCCATTTCTCTGGCTTGTTGCTTCTTTATTTATAAAATGAGATTATCAGGCTGTAACACCAAGCTCCTTGTAGCTGCTAACATTTTATGAAAAGCCAACCTGTGAACCTTTACATGTTTAGGTAGAGGTTATTTTTAACACAGCCTGGAAACTTAGGCTTTACTCTTAACAGTAAGCCTATGCTTGGTTTGCCCATCTGTTTTTAAACACTGTGTTTGGTGCTCGTTTAATGATGCTGGGTGGTACTCTAGGACAGAGTTTGGGTCTCGGGATTTTATAGAGATGGAATTCATAACTGCCACAGCTACAGTATCAAGTGTGTCTAGTAATTCAGTTTAGAATGTTTTCTTTGGACGTTTTAAATTGCTGCAAATACAAGTACTCTTTGTTGGTCTAATGATGAGTATTTTCTTTGGCAGTTTTAGGTCACTCAGGATAGGTGTAACTGTATCCAAGCCTCTAGTTCTTACCATTGATGTGCTTTGATAGCCTGCTGTCACAAACTAATTTGCACATGGCACTGAGAGGGTCTCAGGGTGATGGGTTCTGGTATTACCTCTGCCTATAATTCATTGTGTCATCATGGGCAAAGACTTCATCCTGTGAGTTGCAGATGGCCCTCAGTGACAGGAAGAAGCTGGATTAGCAGCTTATGTTTAGTGAGCATCTGGGGAACACCAGGTACTCTGCTGGGCACAGGATGTCTAAGATTTTATTTAATTATCACACTAGAGCAGTGGTAGGCAAACTACAATCCACAGGCCATACATGGCCCATTCTTTTTTCTCTGTGAGGAAAGGTTTCTGGAACACAGCCGTACCTGTTTTTGTTACCTGTGTCTGCTTTTGTGCCTCAGTGGCAGAGTTGAGTGGTTTTTCTGCAGACCTCCTGACAGATTTACTCTGTGGCCTTTACAGGGAAAGTGCGCTGACTCCTGATAGGTCCAGAGAGCAGCTTGCTTACCCCTAGGATGCCCCTATGTATAGGTAAGGGAACTGGGCTGTAAAGGTTGAAGTCACAAGGCTGTCCTTACCTCCGGACAGGCTAGCTTTGAAGGCCAGTCCTCGTCATTCCACGAGGCTTGCCTTTGTTCTGTATTCAGTATCTTACAAGGTTACTGGAATGCTTTTGTTGGTTGAGCTTAACAGAATTCTCTTTGCTGTATTCAGGTGGGTTTTCAACTCGACCATTTGTGAGAAGTGTCCAGCGTCAGAGCTTGTCATCCCGATCTTCTGTCACCAGCCCTTTGGCCGTCAATGAAAATTGCATGAGACCTTCTTGGTCCCTGTCTGCTAAGCTGCAGTTGCGCTCCAATTCACCTTCCCGATTCTCAGGGGACTCTCCAATTCACAGTTCTGCCTCCACCTTGGAGAAGATTGGGGAGGCAGTAGATGACAAGGTCTCCATCTCTTGCTTTGGTAGCTTGAGGAATCTTTCTAGCAGTTACCAGGAACCAAGTGACAGTCACAGTCGACGCGAGCACAAGGCTGTGGGCCGGGCTCCACTGGCTGTCATGGAAGGTGTGTTCAGAGACGAGTCAGACACCCGCAGATTGAACTCCAGTGTTGTAGATACACAGAACAAAAACTTAGCACAAGGGGATCACTTGCCTCCAGTCTCTGATCCATTTGATAACAACAATCAGATTGCTTATGTGGATCAGAGCGATTCTGTAGACAGCTCTCCAGTCAAAGATGTGAAGTCCCCGAGCCACCCAGGCTCACTCACAAAGAAACCAGAGAGCACAACCAAGAGATCTCCTAGTTCCAAAGGCACTTCTGAGCCAGATAAAAGCTTGCGGAAGGGGAGGCCAGCCTTGGCAAGCCAGGATTCATCTCTTTCAAGTACATCCCCTTCTTCTCCTGTTCCAGTAAAAGTCTCTCTAAAGCATTCCCGCTCTCGAAGCAAAGCAGATTCATCTTCCAGGGCCGGTGGGAGGCATTCATCCCCTGCCCCCGGTCAACTCAGAAAGGAGGCGTCCTCCAAGTCCCAGGACTCTGCGTCATCTCCTTCGCCACAGAAGCAGAAGTCAGCTTCTGCCCTTGCTTACACTGCTTCCTCTACATCTGCCAAAAAAGCCTCGGGCCCTGCCTCCAGGGGCCCCTTCCCACCTGGGAAGAGCAGGACTTCAGACCGGACCTTGAGCAGAGAGGGCTCCAGACAAAGCCTGGCTTCTGATCGAGCCAGCATCACCTCCAGCTCCAAACCCAGCTCTCCTCGGGTGAGCCAGGCCAGGGTTGGGGAGGGTAGAGGTGACGGCAGGCAAGTCCGGAGCTCCTCTATGGCCAGCCTGCGCTCCCCCAGCATGAGCGTGCGATCTAGTCTGAAGAGAGATAGCAAGTCTGAGGACAAGGGGCTGTCTTTCTTCAAGTCCGCCCTGAGACAGAAGGAAACCCGGCGGTCCACTGATCTTGGCAAGACAACCTTGCTCTCTAAAAAGGCCGGTGGGAGCTCTGTCAAGTCAGTTGGTAAGAATGTTGGGGATGACAAATCTGAGAAAGGCTTCCAGACTCCAGGCTCCCAGCAGCCAAATGCACATGCAGCTGGAAAGGAGCCTGTCTCCAAGGACCCTGCTTCTGCTAAACATTCCTTGCTGTCTGCTCGAAAATCCAAGTCTTCCCAGCTGGATTCTGCAGTTCCTGTGTCTCCCAGTGGAAGGCAGTCTGCTGAGAAAGTCTCCAAGAAGTTACCTGCTAGCATGCAGACCTCTGCACGGCCTTCTCAGAAACCTTAATGATAGTTCTGCAATCCAAGTGTTTTATCTGTAAAGATGTTTATTTATTTAGAAGCTCCCCCTCCCACCAGAGTCCTTTATGCTTTTGTTTTGTATTTTTCAGGTCATACGCCTGACTGTGCGTGTGTGTATGTGTGCGCGCGTGTGAATATATGAGGACAGTTCAATTGCAAATTGTTAAAAGCGTCGCCTTATTCTGCCATCGAACCAAATAACAGCCATAGGCAAAGCATCGATGCCGAGTGAACTGGAGTAATTGTAGATGTTACCCTGGACAGCCCTGTTAGCAAGTGTACCCATTTCTTTCTAGAGAACTCTAATGACTTTCATTGGACACTAGGGTTTTGAAGCCTGTGAACCAGTTAAGCTATCATTAGTGCCCGGGACTTGACTTGGGTTTCATTTGAGCAGGATCTGCCCTTACCGGAATTGTCAAGTGGCACCAGGAGCTCTAAAAACTGTGACGCTAACAATAAAACAAGAGGGAAAAACTTGCTTTCTGCACTTTCACCCCATCTACTAGTCTTTGTAAAGGGCAATATTTTAACACTAATGTTCTCAGGTATAAATACTCAGCCAGTCTAGGATGGATGTGCATCAGGAAATGGATTAAAGAGGAAGGTGACATGTAGTTGACTGTATCATTTCTTACTGCCACAGATAGACGTTTCAGAGGTAGACGCAAAATCTTCCACTACCTTTAACCTGGCCCATCTAGACACTTGGGATATGTCCTGAGGTGGCAGATACGATAAGCAGAAAGCCGGTCACTAGTTAAATTACTTTCCTTCTACATTTGCTAGCTAAGGCCATTGGGATCTTGAGGGTGTAGCAGAGCAGTTAACACCTTTGAAAGATACGTGAAGGAGATGTGTTCTAAACTGGAGGCATGAGTTCATACCGTTTTCTTTCTCTGGTGTTGATTTTTTTCTTGTTAGAAGTTGAAGGCTCCATGATGCACCTTGTCTGCATGCTTGTTTCCTCATCTTGTACTTTAGAAAGAAACTGCCTCCTGCCAGGAATCAGTGAGGGTGTGTGGAAGTGATGTGTAGCAGTTCGGATCCTGCCTGTGTCAGTCTTTGTGAAGATTGCCTTTCAGTAATTCATTTATGTCTTCTTTGTGCTGAGAATTTCATTTCCTACCGAGTACTTGCAAGCAGGATTTGGAGAATATCCCGTCTGGCATTGTCAGTATAAACTGCATTTCTTCTGTAGAAAAGGGGGAGCCTCATAGAAATATCTGTTGAGCAAAATCTATACTTTCTCAGGCTTTATGGAGGTCTCCTGGCAGTACTTTCCTGCTCATGTTTTTAGCTTTTCTATTTTTTCTTAATTTTAAGAGCGTCATAGTCCTGATTCTTCTTGAATAGCATTTCAGTTTGCCATAAAATCTAGCATGTTAAGTTAGTTCATGTGCTTTACTTTTTTCTTTTTTTGGTCATAGACTCTTGAAGTTCTTTCTGAAATCTTGGTGCACAGATCCGTTTGTCATCACCCTTCCCAGTATTGCTGTGTGTGAAGTAATTACAGCACATCCACATACATAGCTGTAAATTCTGCACTGGCTTTCCTTTTTCTTTTCTTTTTTCCACCTCTTGGGAAATATTTCCAGTAGGTTGCTTAACTCTATATTGCTGCTGATTTGAGCATTAGCTGGTAACTTACTGCCTGCTCCGTGTAGACGCTGTATGTAGGCCCGTTGCCCATTTTGCTCATCATCCCTGTCCTCCACTGGGTTTGCCTGCAACGTTGGTGGCTTTCCAGAGCTGCGGTGCACTCTGCCGTGGTGTTAACAGCAGCTGGCTGGCTGCCTCCGACACTGTCATTGCTTCCCACGCACGTTGACGGCCCCGTCAGTGTTGAGCCACCACTGACTTTCCTGTGTTGCTTGTATTTCCTGAGAGATCAGCAGATGAGGGAGCATCAATGTGAGGAATTGAATGCGTATCTCTTGAATTTTTGAGTTAAGTCTCATTTGAAATTTCTTGATAATAGCCAGAGGGTTTTAATAACACTTTTTTTTTTTGCCCTAGTCAGTTAAGCATTAGTAGAAACTAGTTTAATTTTCACAGTGGTAACCATTTTATTGTAGGAATGGATTTTTTATTATGTATAATGTCTTTTTTAAAAAGAAAACTCTACAGATCATTTTAATTTTCCATGGGACCTAGAAAAAAATTTCTACAATAAAATATATAAACTTTGTCTATGGAATTTAGTCTTTGTTTCAGATTTAATTAAATAGAAAAAATCAGTAAGTATTATGGCATTATCTAGGAATCATTAAGCTATTGTATTTCCATGGTTGGTTAACAATGAAGATTTCACTGCTCCTAACAACGAGGAACAATTTGAAGCCACAGAAGAGGATATTTTGCCCCAAAGTTTGAAGGTGCTCTTTGAAATGTGAATTATGTTAGGAACACTGTTACTCAGCTCAGTTCAGTTCTTTGTTAGGGTTAAAGACTTTTTTTTCCCCCTCCAGTGATAGTTGGTGCAATAAATACACATTAGCTTTAGGGTTAAAAAATAATCTGCCAGGGGCAGTAAGCCTGGGTTTCTGGTCAGCAACCATATGGGCCTAATTAGTGCAGTCACTTCCTGTTAAGCACCAAGGAATCACCACACTTCTGTAAGTGCCACATAATCACCAACTTGCATTTGTAGTGTTTGCTTAAAAAAAAAAAAACCAATATAAACCTTTTTATTCTTGATTTCTTTTTCTGTAAAAATGCAGTGCACTGAGGCTATATCAGTTCTTAAGACAGCCCTACACCTCTGTAATCCCTTAGACAGTGGAAGCACAGAAACCAGTAAGCTCCTGTTGTCTCGGACTGCCTCCTCCCTCTTTGTATTTTCTCATTCTGACAGTAGCCTGACTGAAAGTAATATGCTGGTCCAATAAAAAAAAGCAAATGTGGGGATCTTTCTTGTATACTAAAATGCTGTCATTATCTGTGAGGCTGCCTTAAACTCTTGAAGTCATTCTTTAATCCTTCATTTGTTCTGCAAACATTCTTGGAGGACCTGCAGTAAATTTAGAGGCAAGCTGAAAGCTTTGGGGATTTGCTTTAGCTGAGGAGCTCAGAGAACACAGCTAATCCAGCAGAGGATGCTCATAATATCCTAAAGCGGCAATGCTCCTTCTCAACAGAAAGATCTAATGGATTCTGGTCAGTTGGCTAAGGCTGTGCTCCTCTTGAGCATGTATGTTCTGTCTAGAAACCAAAAGTGCCCTTCTTCATCTCTGGAGATATTGCACTCTTTTATCTACTAGTTCAGACTGAGCTGTCTGCTGTTTAGGGATTGAAAAGTCCATTATATAATCACTGTACATTAGAGTGTGTCTACCCATGTTTGTATGAGATAGATGTGTGGATTTGTGTGTGTGTGTGTGTATGTGTGTGTGTGTTTTGGGTGTCTTCCCTCTAATGATCCTCAGAAAAAACATGAACAGTAGTGGCAGCTTTTAGGGAAAACGAAGCAGAGAAAAGCTGTGAACAAAAGCTCATTTGTTTCAAACAACTTTTTAAAAAAGTAGATGGACATCAGATGTTCTGTTTCATTATGACAAATTACTGAACATTCTGACAAGTTACTGTTTCCTCTATAGATGGTTGTTATCAGATAACAAAGATACTTAGTGTTACTGGGCTGGATTTTTGAGATAGGATGCAAATTATAAGCACAGATTCAATAAAACATGTTCTGGAGGCACACTGGAGCTTATATCTGTAGTTGAGAAGGTCAAAATTTGCTGACAAACCAGTGCCTATCATAAACACAAAACATAGCTTTAGTGTGCAGGCTATTTTGCCTTTAATTTCGTGAAGGCTACATTATTCTTTATCTGATTACATGTTTTGGGGGTGGGTCATCCAATGCTTTTATTTAAATAAATAGTGTCTCATACTGCCTTTGATCAACTCCCAAAGTGTTTGTTTCTGTAGCTGCATTTTGAGCATGACCAATTATTTTTTACCCTTAGTAATGAAAACAATTTTGCATGTCCTCCATCTAACCAAGAAAGCATGCTCTTCCTACCTATGCAAACAACCAATTTAAAGAAAAGACTATACTAAATGTTGTTTTAAGAACGCAACTCTTAGATTATGGAGCTCTATTTTTGACTTTGTAATTTTTAAAATGTGGCTTAATCAGTGTAGATGAGCATGAATGTGACTTCTTGGTTTGCTTTATGTATATTTCTCCTTACCAATTTTTAAAAAATCATTGGTGAGATTGTGTGTAAAATAAATATTTTGCAGGCAGGGGTGAAATTAGGTATGTTGAGCATACATTGCTGTACATACTGTATTTAGCCTGAAGACTTTCCTAAAGTATTTTGTTCTAAAAATAACCTGCCATTTTCTATAGATTTTAATTTTTTATATCTTCTAGGGTTCTATTGTGGTCACAAGGAACGAACGTGGCTGCGAATAGTGCCAACAGTTTTAAAATGCTTTTGTAGAGACTTAGAGCTGTTTTGGGAAGCTTTGGAGCTCCCCTCCCACTGATCACAGTAAGAATGAGGCCCTGAAACTCGCAGTAGTGTTGTACAGTGCATTTGAGTCTAGATCCATCTGATGCTCATTTAAAACCAGTGTTGTCCGTTTTGGGAGAGAAGGAGGTTCATAGCTGACTTGAGAAGCTGTTTCGAACCTCATGCATATCCTCTCTGAGATTCTCCTAGGCGTGTTCCGAGTGCCTCATCTGTGGTGATACCCAGCATCTGCAAGCATGATGAAGTAATGTTTGTGTCCCCGCCCAGGCTCCTGACCTACTTAGTATAGAGGTGGGGCCCAGAATCACCATGTTTCTAACCCGCAGTCAGGATTAAGAACCACTGTGATACACCGTCCCCTTGCCGAGAATTATGTTGAGAATCACTGCCATACACGAAGTACTCAGCAGTGACCGCAATTGCTCAGTTCTTCTGGAGAGGAAAGTAAAAGAAGATACCAGTCTCCTGTTTGCAATACAGAGTGTGGAGTGTTTTATGGGTGGCTTGATGGCAGCCAAGGTGGTGGAAATGGGTGATCTCAGTTGCTGGAGTGGACGGAGTCACAGAGGGGTCCTTCCCTGGGGCCATTCTCCTGGATTCTTTGGTGGGCCTGAGACCTAGGGGTGGGGGGACCACTCTAAGTTAGAAAATGTGAAAGAAGAAAATAGAAAACAGCCTTTCTGGCCTTGGAAACCTGTCCCTGCTTTTGATAGAACGATTGTCTTTTTGTAGTAATGAAAATAGCAACTCCCAGGCTACTGCTGATTTCCTACTTAGCTCATTCTCTCCTGTATTCTTACTGGTCCACAATGTAGTTTCTAGAATTATTCTTAGTTTGAAAATGAATATGAAATATTTTACTTGGAATCTTTTTTTCCCCCCTTTTGGTAATTCTTGTTGCCATTTTTTTCATGTAATTTTTTAAAAAGTAGTATGCACCCCAAAATTTGGCTAGTTTATGTTAACCTATGGAGGCAAATGAAATTTAATTTTAATCTGTGGTGAGCTGAATGCACTACAACATCTGCAAATAATTTGCTGTGCTCAGGTGGCTTCATCCTTTTTGAGCATTATGCTGCCTACAAATATAAACACAGTTTACCTGGTATGTTCACCATTTTAAGAAATAAAGATAGAAGGGAAAATCTAGGTTGGAAATGCTTCTTTAGAAAGGCCTTCTAGAGCAGTGATGGGTGTGACGATTGTGAAGATGCAGTATGAGCTTTCCCAGGTGCTATCCTACATGGTGTGGTGTCATTATACCTCACGGAAAGACAGTGTTTCTAAAGTTGAAGTTCTCTGTGTGGGCTTTCAGATACGCATTTGTGTTTCATATGGGTTTGCTCACCAATTGTGCCTCTCACCACTGGTTAAAATTGAATTCAGGCCCCATTACCGAAACAGTTTCTTTCATATTTACACTGGAATTTCCCTAGTTGTCTTAAAAGCTGCATGTCATGTCACTGTACACAAAATGCTTTGGTATTGTTCATGCACCATCGAAAATTGTGTATAATGTTCTTCTTTAGTTGTACAATAAAATGGAAGGCAGGTTGTCTTTCCTAGGGGCTGGAAAAAAAAAGTATCATACATTTTAAATTATTTTAGACTCAGAGCATGAAATGTCACTGACTTCTGTTATTTATTTGTATGTTTTGTTATTCAAGGTGTATGCACTTTTAAGAAACAGAATTTATATTTTTATGTTTAAAACATTTTATTTCCGAAACAGCAGTTATTATATAGTATACAGTTGGAAATAAGAGAAAAGTGGAAAAATGTAACAAAATATAATAAATTTATTACACAATGTCCTCTTCAAGCCATATTTCTCTTTTCTCCCTCTTGGCAGCCTGTAACCTTTAATATTGACTAATAGCATCTGCACTTCATTGACCTGTACAGAGTGCTCCCAAATCAGTGTGCAAAGTATAAAAAAGCAAGTTACAGGACTCCTCAGATACTCTATGTGAAAGTTTCCCATTTAAGTACTAACCAGGCCCAACCCTGCTTATATACCTGCTTAGCTTCTGATATTAAACAAGATCAGGTGCATTCAGGGTGATATGGCTGTAGACTGCTATGTAAAAGTCTAAAGAAACATGCACATGCATATATAATTTTCACAATTAGTGATTATATGCAGATCAGAGGCAGTTTGTCCTGGGACATGGAGCCAGACAAGAAAGAACTCAGATTCTAATTCAATTCCAACAGACTTTAGGCATTGTGTTGTTTTCCCTGTCCCATCACGAGAAAATAGCAATAGAAAAAAAGACCAGTCTTTGTCTAGCCTGTCTTACCTTTGATGTCCAGTATCTTGGTGTTTAACGGTCCTGTTGTGAGGACACCTTTCCAAAAGCTGTCTCCTTTCAGGACAATTGCCTGTGGAAGCTGTCACATCACCTGTGACCACTTGGGGGCAGTAGAGATCGCTGTTATCAAATACATGCAATGTCCCGCCTACAGGTTCTTGGTCTTTTCTCAGAGTGTGGAAATGCTGGCCAGGAGTGTCAGCACGAGTTTCTTCCCAGGTGAGTACCCCCAGCTGTCGTATGTTCCCAGAGCGTGAATCCAGATTACAGAGCAGGTCTTGTTTTCCTACAGCACAGCATTATGGTTTAGGGTTGGATTAGGGAGTCATTGTCCCTGACCAGGACCAGCGAGAACTATGGGCCATAAAAATCCAAGGCACAGCTCTTGTAACTAACTTGTCTAGTTTTCAGTGGTGAAATTTTGTTCTAGGTTCTATTAGAGAATTTAACAGTAGTATGCTGATTATTTAAGAGGCTTCGAGGGCCAGGATTTAGCTCAGTGGTTCCTCCACCTGCCTTACAAGCACAAGGGCTGGAGTTTGATCCCTGTTACAAAAAACAACAAAACAAAACAAAAAATTGCTCCATACACCTGAAAGTGTTCACATTATAAAATATATAGATTTAGTGGTTATGCAAATGTATCGAAGGATCATTTTGTCTCCCTGGAACTTGGAGGATTATTTTTAAATACTTGGTCGGTATCTTTCTGAGTCTTCCTGAGGAAAGCAATGGCCTGATAAAGCCCCTTGCCCTGGACTGCATGTTCCTGTGTGTTACAGTGCCCATGTGACACTGAAGGCTGCTGACTCCACAGGAAGTGGATGGAGGCCTGCCCCCAGCCCCGGTGCTCCTGCTCTTCCCCAGGTAGGTCCCACCCTGGGTTCTCCCACGTGGATGTCCTGATTTTCTTTGGTGGCTCTGTTCCCCTTCTCAGGCCTCTCCAGCTTGGTCATCCGGTAGTTCCTCCTGTCTGGATAGCTTGGGTCTACCTCATGCAGAACCTTGAGATTCAGCTTGATGTGCTCTGGTCTCAGTCATTGTGTTTGTTACCCTCTGCTAGCATCTGCTACACACAGAGGGTAAGGTTTTTGCATGTATAACCCAGTAGCCTGGTACTCCACGTCTTCGGCCTTTCAGGGTTATAGCATTGATTGGCTTGCTGTCTGGAGTTACAGCAGCTCCACCTTTCTTGAGCAAAATGGGAAGGTGATGTGAGACCTTAGTTTTAAAATCAGGTCTCCCTGCTACTGTTGGGGTCTGAGGCCTGTAGCATCTCCTCATCCCCTATGCCTTTCTTTTGTTTAGAAAGAATCCATAGAGGCCCATAGTATGCAGATCCAGTTTCAAGGACTCGGGGACAAGTTGTAAGGTAGATCTGTCCCCTCCAAGAGTGGAGTGTAAGGAATGGGGGTTGTGCGTTGTAGACTGGTGAGGGGCCACAGTGGTCTCAGGATTCAAGTCCACAAGAGGTCGTGTGGGGAAGGTGCCAATGTCCGGTCCCACAAGTCCTGGTCCTTTAGCGCCTCCTGTGTGCATGATCATGCCTGGAGGGGCCACTCTCAGCTTAGGTCCTGGTGGTCGACAGATGGCATTTCAATGACTTCTGCCCTTCACTCAGCTGCTTTTCCCTCCAGGCCTAGCATGTTCTCTGAGATGCCTCAGTTGCCTCACCTTGTTAACGTCTTACTCAATTCTACCTTCTCTTTGAGGCCTTCCTCAGCCCCTTTTCAAAACACTGTAACCCACTTCACACACCGTCCTTTTGCCCTGTTTTCTTTTCTACCTGTCACTTTAAGACCAACTAGCATGGTGCATAAGCTAGCTCCCATGAGAGCTGGCGATTGGTCTGCTCTCCAGGCACATGGTGCTTGCTTAGTAAATGGTTGCTGGCTTGACACTCAGTGGGTTGACTTGGGTAATCTACTTAATTGTCCTGAGTTGACCTTCCTGCCTATGGGATGGATGTAGAGGTGGAGGTTGAGTGAGAGTGATGCTCCTAAAGCACTCAGCACAGTGCTGGGCGCAGAAAGGGCCGTGAGTGGTGCCACCTGTAGTAGTAACCATAGCAACTGGAGGAGAGGCTGCCTTTCTGAGTCTGGCTGGAGCAGTGGAGCATAGCTTGTGTTTTAGGCTGAGGAAACTGCTGTACTTTTTGGAAACCCCGAGTCCAGTCTTGATGGAATGTAAGACAAGAAGCAGTGCATGAAGAGGGAGCAGGAAGTCATTTAGAAGACTTATGACCTGCTGCATTTGTCTAAAGTAAATGGCAATCCAGGAAGAGATTTTAATTTAGGGGAGAGAAGATTTCCATTTTCTGTCATGGCTTGGTCAGCGTGACAACTGTGTGGTGCAGTCGAGCCCAGTTAGGAGTTCGCTGCAGGAGTCTGGGCCCAGAGCAGGGCAGACCTCCACCCTCGGGGGAAAGGGGATGGGGAGGAGGGGAGCGGGCGCCTGGACAGGCACATGTGCACCTAGCCTCAGAGGTGAGGCTCCGGCCCAGCTTCGACCCCACTGCAGCGGGACGCCCAGAGGGTTTACTCCGCTTCTCTGGGCCTCGTCTTTCAACTGGGAATGCAGATAATGGTGTCTGCATGATTACTCAGAAGCTTAATTGGAGCATTTGGGTTATTAGCATCTAATGGAAGTACTAATGCATGTATACCTCCATCTTTTATATTTGTCCCACCTGTTTTGTATTTTTCTCTTTCTTTTTCTTCAACCTAATAGTTTTAGAATTACAACTTTTACCTTTATTTGCTATGTATCCTTTTGCTCTTTTTTTGTTTTAGTGATTATCTTTGTGATGTCATCATGCATTCCTGAGTCTAAAAAAAGATACTTTTTTTACCCCATAGGATGTGGTGTACTGTAACACCATGTATCCCTTTCCACTGTTTGCTTTTTGTTCTCATGCATTAGAATTAGAATTCCAGGTACATTTAACTTTACTTAACTAACAGTGTTACTAATGTTACACAGTCAGTATTCACTTCACTCGTATATTTACTTTATTCCCTTTTGCATTTCAATGTTTCTGCCTGGGATCATTTTCTTTCTGCCTCAGGAACTCCCTTTGCTACTATTTCTTTTTAAGCCTGTGTTAATGATGCATTCTCTTAGTTTTTATTTGATTGAAAATGTCTGTTTTGGCTTCACTTTTGAAAGGTATTTTCACTGAGAATACAGCTCTAGGTTGGAAGTTATTTTCTTTCATTTTCATCCCTTGAGCTTCTGCCTTTCATTATTTATATTGAGTCAGTTATAAGTTTATGCTGAATCTTTGAGGATATGTGGTGTTTTTTTCCTGGTGGCTTTGAGGTTGCTTGTCCTTTTTTCTTAGTTGTATTCTGATGGAGGTGTGTGGGTATTTTGTTTTGTTTTTATCCTTTTCTTTGTGAGTTGGACTTGGAAACTATGCAGCTACTGTTACTTTAAATATTGCTTCTGATCCACATTTTCTGGCCTTTTTACAGAATCTGATAACTGTGTATTTTAGACCTTTCACCAAGTCTCAACCATCTCTTTCCACTCCTTCAAATATTTTTGATCCTTTTTGGTCTTCATACTTTAGGATGGATATTTTGGCATAATGAATCCTCTTTTTAGTTGTGTCTAACCTCACCAGATGAAATAAATCCTATTAAATTTGTATTTCTGTTTTGTGTTTGTTTTTGTGGTACCGGGGATCGAACTCGGGCCCTTGTGCATGCAAGGCAGGCTGTGGAACCACTGAGCCAAATCTCTGGCCCTAAATTTGTATTTTTGATAGTGAATACTTTTTCAGAATAAGCATGTCCAAAAGTTTGAATGGGCGTATGTAGACAGCTTTGCCTTTTTTTTTTTGGTACTGGGGTTGAACTCAGGACTTTGTTTTTTGAGGCAGGTGTGGTTCCACTGAACTAAGTTCCTGGCCCTGCTTTGTCTTATACAAATACCCGAGGCAACCAGTTTACAAAGAGAAAGGTTTATTTTGGCTCAGAGTGTTAGTTCAGTCATTTGGCCTGTTGTTTTGGGCCTGTGGCAGCTCGGCTTATTATGGTGGGAGTGCATGGTGGAGCAAGCTGCTCACATTGGCAGTCAGGAGGCAAGGAGAGGCAGAGCAGAGGCCAGAGTCCCAGTGTCCCCTCCAAGGGTGACGCAACTTCCTTCCACTGGGCCTCACCTCCTCCAGGTCCCACCATTTTCCAGTAGTGCTGTATGCTGGTGAGCAAGCCTTTAAGACGTGAGCCTTTGGGGGACAGGTATCCAAACTGTAACAGGGCACACTTATTTATATTAACAAAAAAAGTTTATCTGAAATTCCAATTGAACTGGGTATCCTCTGTTTGGAATTACCAAATCTGTCAGCCCCAGCTGTGTAGGATTTTCTGGTAAACCCATTGTTATGCTTTAGATCTCGAATATCTCCCAGACGGCCCATGTGTTAAGAGAAGGGGCTTTGGGAAGGTGGC